AGGAGTACTTACAAAGGGAGCTGGAAGAGGATCTACTCGCTTAGCGCGAGGCTGATCAGCAGATTGCTCACGAAGAGCGTCAGAGAGGAGAGCGATCAGGTGTTAGCCGCCAGGCTTTGGCGCGCTGTAGTAGGTGCAGAGAGACTGGCCATAACTCGCGTACGTGCAAGAAAGATACTCTAGGTACTGCTTAATCTATTATGTTAATATGTAGTAAAACAACTATATTGTGGTGGAACTACAGGCTTATAGAGGTGCGCAGGTTTGGTGGGGTGCGGCGCTCGCTTGCCTGCGGCGCTCGCTTGCCACATACGTTATCCTAAATTAGATCTTTAACTTGCTTTTTTTAATATCTAACTACAACGTGTTTAAAGCTAAAGATGCGCTGCCTCTATCTATAACGTGCCTTAAAGTACAATATCTGATCAACAGGCTAGAAAGCGCCCCCGACGCGACTGTGAACCGAATTCAAAGCGCCTAAGTAAGTTAGAAGAGGAGGCTATTATTAGACGTATTTTTAAAGAGTCTGCGCGTGGATTTGCCCCTACAAAGGCTAAGGTTCAAGTAATGGCCAATAAACTGTTAGAGGAGCGTGGTGGCAACCCTATTAGCAAGAATTAGGTTGACAACTTTGTTAGGCGGACTGCTAAGCTCCGTACGCGCTAGAGCCGTCCCTATAATCACCAGCAAGCCGCCTGCGAGGACCCAGTGGCTATCTAGCGCTAGTTTGACTTAGTCCAGGCGACAAAGCAGAAGTGGGGTATTGTGGACGACGATATCTACAACTTTAACGAAACTAGCTTTATGATAGGCAAGATTTTATTACAGCTATTAATCACAGCATTAGAAGGATATAGAAAAAAGAAGCGGATACAGCCAGGCACCCGTGAGTGGGTTACTGTGATCTAAGGCGTGGGCGCGTTAGGTCGCCAGATACCACCGTTCGTTGTCTTTGCGAGTAAGGTGCTTATTAACGTCTAGTTTAAGAATTTGCCTGCTAACTAGGTTCTTAAAGTTAGTCCTAATAGCTGGACGAATAATTAGCTTAGTCTTGCCTAGTTAGAGCACTTTAATACCTATATAAAGAGCTCTACTATGGGTGGGCATTGACTACTTATTATTGACGGCTATGAGAGCTACTGCTCTATTGATTTTCAAGATCTTTGCAAGGAGAAGAATATTATTCTTCTTTGTATGCCTCCACACTCGTCTCACCTGTTGCAGTCCCTTGACGTCGCCTGCTTCTCGCTATTAAAGCGCAAGTATAGCGACGCTGTTTCAGGCTTGGCACGCAACCGCACCCACTATATCAGCAAGGAGACCTTCCTACTAGCCTTTAAGGCTGCTTTTGAGCAGTCTATTACAAAGGAGAATATCCAAGCTGGCTTTAGAGGCGCTGGTCTAGTCCCACATGACCCACAGGCTGTGCTATCTAAGCTTGATGTGGTGGTGCAGACGCCAGTACAATCACCACGACGGACAGCCGCCTGGCAGGCGCAGACACCACGCAACGCGCGCGAGGTTGAGGCTCAAAGTACTCTTATTCGACAGAGAGTAAGAAACCGCCCTAGGTCTTCTGCAAATTCTCTTGACAAGAAGGTTGTATAGCTAAGTAAAGGGGCTTAGTAAATAGCACATAAGATGACGCTTATGAGGGAGGAAGTAGCTGCTCTTTGAGAGGCTCTAGACATAGCAAATAAGCGTAAGAGCCGCAAGCGGCAATACGTACGCATAGAAGAGACTCTTACTGTAGGCGAAGTACAAGAAGTATTAGCTGAACAGGCGGGTAGCAGTTGTGGTGATGGTGAGAGTGCGTCGAAGAGGGTGCGAGGAGAGCGGCGGTGCGGGCGTTGCAAGCAGACTAGACACAACGCTCGTACCTGCGCAGTTAAGATAGATAGTGCAAGTGATAGTAGCGATTCTAACAATTAATCTAGTATATTGCAATAGTTTATTGACTGTAATAAAAGACTGTGATAACGTGTCAACGTCAACGCGCTGGTGGGGAGTGACCGACTCGCTTGGGTGACCGACTCGCTTATGAACCACGTTAAGTATCCAATATAAAGATATAGTTTATAGTATTAAGTAATTTAATTATTTGTATACAGTGTTTGTAGTGCTAAGAAAAGGTAGCTAGCTCACTAGTTTAGCCGCTTCACTAGTGTAGTACGTTATCAAGTTTAAGCTCTTAAATCAAGTAAAAATTCAACCAAAAACAAAATTACTTAATAGTTTTAGTATTTAAGAATACTCTAGCACTAGCTACTAAAAGCTAAGTAATAGATTATATACTTTATTTCTTTTAATTCCTTATCCACTTAGTAGGTAATAGAAGCCTATTTAAGTATATTAATCTTTATTAGAAGTGATACTATCTCTTTTTCGCGATTCACTAGAAAATTATAAAAACCGGTTTTATATATAGTTACCGAACTACTGTATACTAATTTAACATAGAATGTTTTTTAATACTACTATATAGCATTTTGTACTAGTATACATCCAGCGTAGCGTGTGGTTCGTATCCTATGAATTTTTATCAACTCAATCCAAAATCCAAAATCACAATTGTTCAGCGATTCCACTATAACAATGTCCAAGCCGCTAAGTGAGGCGGACATCATATTCCCGCACCTCTGCAATACATCAAGTCTATCCAGCACCCTGTCCTCACTACGCCGGTCTTCGCTTTCAACACACAATCGGCTCGCCTCAATCTTATTGGACAGTGTCTTTGTGGAAACAGTGGCATCAGCCTATGAGCTTCCTCTTGTAGCGAACGAGCGTTGCGGCAGCTGGTACATTCCGCTTTCTCGAAAATCTGGCTCCGTTTACTTTAAAAGTACCGACGGCCACATGGGCGAATGGAGCTTCAGCCTGCGCCGACTAAATCTGCAATTGCTCGATGTAGTGGCGAAATGGGGCGGGGCTGTGGTTGTGGACAGCACAAGAAGGGGGAAGAGCATGCCAGATGCGTTGAGCAAGACGATTCCGATATGGTGCTGTGTGATGAATCGAGCATTATTTGGTGGAGAGAGGACAGGGGAAGCGATGGAGCTCTTCACGCCGCCGCAAGCTGTGGGAGAGAGCGAGCATGCACAGATGCAAAAGAGAATAGATGGATTCGTTCGACAGTTCTTGGTACGTTCCATTTTGCGATATGAACATCAGGTGTCATTGGCTGATACAAAAGAAAAGAACATCTGCAAACCCAACATTCCACTTCTCCGGAGTAAGCTCCAAAAGCCACTGCGTCCAATCTGGGTAACACAGCAATCTTCCCTTCCGGAATCATCACCCAAATTCTCAGATTTCCACCCAATAGTTCTCTGCACAGCGTCGCGGCGTGTCCGTGGTGCCGAGGCATCAGAGAATGGATACATCCAGGGCGCTGCAGACGACCACGAAGCATGGTCACACGGGCTTACGCCGCCAGTTTTTTGGAAACATAAAGATCTATTAATGAGCACGAGCGAAGAGGATGCTACAGACGTCATTTCAAAGCTCATCAAGGAGCAGCGGAGCAGCTGTGCGACTGCAAGTCTGATTCAGCCCACGTCACAACTATATATCTCCTCGAGCGATAACGTGCAATTCTCAGGTTTCGATGTCGTAGTCAGCTGCACGCCTGAGCCCCTCGCGCCATCTGCACTCAAAGAAGCCGGTGTAAAACACTACCTTCATCTCAAATGTCAGTCCGGCAAACTGGGCTCCCGCGACCTCCGCACTCAGCTCGCTCATCTTCCACCCTTCTTTGCTTCTCTTCCAGCCCCATCAGCACAAGGTAACATGTTCTTATGCTGTCCAACGGGTAAAGATCTCTCTGTCGGCGTCGCCCTAGCTATTCTATGTCTCTACACCACCGAAAGCGGCACAATCGACACTAGCAGACGCAAAGAAGCACGGGAAATGGGCAAGGCATTGATCAAGCAGCGCTTAAGCTGGGTCACCACGAGCAACGCAGCCCTCAATCCCAGTCGTGCAACTCTGCAGAGCGTAAACGCAATGTTACTTTCTAGCAGCCAAGATCCAAAAGTCCAGCTGCAGACCCAATCACCAAGTACGAGTATTACCGCGAATCTAACCATCCTGGACTCTCGCACCCCTGAAATAGCACGAGAAACGCCGTCTCATCCTACTCATCCTCCTGATTCTCCTTCTTTTGACCCACAGCTTCCCAGAACAATATTCCAAAACTTCCATAACACGGCGAGTCAAGCATGGACCTTCTCCCGCGACCTTAGCTCCATGCTATCTACACATCCCTCCGGTCGCGTAACAGGCACGGCAACATTCACGCCATGTGATACTTCCACTGAGCCATGCTCAGATGCACCACGCATGCTGCTATACGGCGAGCAAGGCACCTTCGTCACGACGACGGGCCTGCAATTCAGCGCGAGCCGAAAATACGTGTATCAACTCCATGGAGCAGGCGCCTCGGCAGACGAGGAAGACGTCTTCATCGCTGTGAATTTCTTCGACGACGAAAAAATGCGATTAGAGGCGCGCGGGGAAACTGGTGTCGGGGCGCACGGCCAGGGCATCGGCGGATTGTTTGTTGAGATGGGGAAGCTGGAGAAGGATGGCGAGGGAGTGTACAGGGCGGGGAATCGGGAGACGCATCTTTGTGGCGAGGACTTGTATGCTGCGCAGTGGGCGTTTGGAAGCGGTATGGCGGTGCAAGGTCAGGCGGATACGGATGTGTGGTGGGAGGTGAGGTATGATGTCAAGGGGCCGCAGAAGGACTATGTTAGTACGACGAGGTATACGAAAATGTAGGTACATGTGGAAGTAGAAGTTGAGATTTTATGGATGCTGTGGATGCTCTGGTGAGAGTATTATATGCGCGTGCTTGTGACATGCCAGTGATGTCTAGTCTCACTCCGGAGACTTGGAAACAATAGTTCAAGGTCAAGAATCCTGGTCCCCGAATGGATAGTTGAACTTCAACAGCGCATTCAGCCCGCCCACCCAGTGGTCCTCGGCCATATCCTCCTTGCCTGTTGTACCACGGACAATGCTGGGTACACCACCCTCCCAACCTCGAGCATCTCGCTTGACCTCCTCTCCGCCTATGCGCACCTCCATGCCAGTACCCAATCTTTCGGTAATGGTGTTTCCATCAATGCTGACTTCTACTTCTCTGCCCCTGTTCTTCTCGCCTAGCCGCAGCGTGACGGGCGTCTCGGCAGGTAGTACCAGAGGCCTAAAGGAGAGCGAGCGGGGGCAGATGGGTGTGAGGCATATGGCTGGAACAAGGGGGTGCACGATGCTTCCGCCAGATGACAGTGAGTATGCGGTCGAACCCGTAGGCGAACTGATAATCATGCCGTCGGCGACTGCCTCTGTCAAGAATCGGTTGTTTACGTAGACGTCGATGATTTTGAGATGTGGACTGGAGCCGCGGTGAAGCGTGACTTCGTTGAGCGCATAGGTATCGCCCTCGGCTGCACCGCCTATCCTCTTCCCGTCAGGCCCAAACACGCCAACCTTGAGCCTGTTGCGCAGTAGAATGCGGGCAGTCCTGTTACTTCCCATTGCCTTGCCGCGTATGTCTGCGTAGCTCAGTGGTCTATCCAGTGGATCATCGGGCGATGCAGGCAGGCTTGGCGGGCTCTTGCCCAGTGAATCCGAAAGAGTAGCGTACGTGTCTGGCGCACCGCTCATGTAGACCTCGCGAAAGGCCCTCTTGTATTCTTTGAACTTGAACTCGCCCAGGAAGCCAATGGTGCCCATGGCAAAGCTCAAGACGGGCGGGACATTTTCGGAATGGCTGAAAAGACTGCTGGCCCTCAACAGTGTCCCGTCGCCTCCGAGGGTGCAGACCAGGTCGGTTTTATCCGAGAGATGGCGCGGTATACCATTCTTCTTCTGATATGTGTATACTGGAAAAGGCAGCTGGCCATGCAGCTCGTCTGCGGTTTCGGGTTCGAAGATGACGTTGATGGCGGGGTAGGTGGAGCGGATGTGCGACGTGAACTCGACGACGGACTCGGTGATGTTGGGCGTGCGCTTCTTTTTGGTGACGAGGATGTTCCGCAGCGGCGAGGGCCACTGCAGACGGAGGAGCGTGTTGGCGGGCGACTGGATGTACGACGGCGTTGTGCGCAGAGGCAGCTCGGATATTGACCTGATGTCACGGCGCCGTGGCGTCGAAGAGAAGGCGCGTTTCTGCGCCGGCACAGCAAGGAGCCGCGGCCATGGCAGAGGACGGTGCTGCAGCACGCGCATGTTGAGGGCGCTCAGCGTGGGCAGCAGGGGCTTGGAGCGAGCGAGTGTGCGAGGGAGGGCGCAAAGCTTGACTCGGGGCGAGTGGGCGCCATATGACCAGACGGCGGCGGGGCGAGCCGTGGATGGCAGCAGGCAGCGAGTAGCGGGCGAGGCAATGGGCACTGCTGCGGCTGCACGATTCGAGCTGCAGAGACGGCAGAGTGCCAGCGACGGATGGCGACGCTCACGGGCAGGATGCGGACGGCGGGTGAAGGGCGTTGGATGGGCGTTGGATGGGCGTTGGATGGGCGTGGGCGTGGGAGTCGGCGTGGGGCTAGCGTCGGCAACACGCGAGCAGGGGATCCCTGTCGAGCGGCGGGAGGGGTATCTTTTGGCCGGCGCCGGTGCCAGTGCCAGTGCCAGTGTCATGATGGCAGATGGGATGAGGCGGATCGGCAGCAGCGTGTTCCAGTCGGCCCCCAAGACACCATGGACGCACGCTGCCGCCTGACTACCACTCCTGCTCCTCGTGCGTCTCTGCCCTCTGGTCCCAGGCACCCGGCGCCCGGAACCCTAGTGCTAGTAGATGCTCCCGCGCGCTCATAACGCTGCTGCTCCCCGCCGCATGCCCTGACCACCCTTCACGCGCCCACCTCATCAGCCATCCGGCCACTTCCACCCGGCGCACGCCCTCGCCTGCTGTGCCTGCCGTGCCCGTACCAAAAGCACACCTGGCACCGCCGCCCTCCACATGCTTCCCTCCACCACCACCATGACGACCCAACGTCTCAAACAGCGCCAGCCGCCCGCTGAGGCGCCCGTCATCACCAAGCTCAAGGCTCAGCGCTCCGCGACACCGCCCGACCCGCAGGGCCCCGATCCCGCCCAGCATCCAGCTGGCAAGATCAAGCATGGCTTCGTGGTCCAGACGATCCGCATGTGTCTGTTCGCCCTCTACTTCAACTCGAGCATCGTTGCGTCAGTCTACACCCACGCTCCATCATCATTGCCGTCGCATACTTGCTGACTCGGCCTGCAGCATCGCCATGACGCAATATGCCGGCTTGCCCTTGTATTTCTACAGCAAGAATCTCTTCTACGCATGGATGGCCGTGTCCAAGCAGCACTTCGGCATCGTCCTCACCACCATGACGTCCTGGTGGGCCCCGGCCACGATGCGTGTCAGTGGAGACGAGAGTGTCCGCGGGCAGCTGAGAAAGACAAGAGACGGGAGGCTAGAATGCGATTTCCCCGAGCGAATCGTGCTCGTTTCAAACCACCAAGTGCGCTGGCCCATCCCCACCCCGTGCTCCAGCAACAACTGACCCACTCTAGATTTACACCGACTGGGTCTACCTCTGGTGGATAAGCTACACCGCTTCCATGCATGGCCATCTCTACATTATTCTTAAAGAGTCGTTGAAATACATACCCGTTGTCGGCTGGGCCATGGCCCTCTACGGCTTCATCTTTCTCTCCCGCAAATGGGCGACAGATAAAGAACGCTTCCAGCATCGGCTGGAAAGGCTGAACAGCAGCCATAGCGGTCCCTTGTCGGGATCCAAGGGCCTTGACCCCATGTGGCTGCTCATCTTCCCCGAAGGCACAAACCTTAGTCACAACGGCCGAGTGGCGAGCCAAAAGTGGGCAGAAAAGAACCAAATGGAAGATCTCAGACACGCATTGCTGCCAAGAAGCACTGGCTTGTTGTTTTGTTTGCAGCAGCTCAAAGACACTGTCGATTATCTGTATGACTGTACAGTGGCTTACGAGGGCGTGCCGTAAGTTTCCTTTGCCATGTCCATCAACATGTCAGCTAACTTGAAGTAGCGTCGGCCAATATGGCCAAGATCTCTTCACGCTCCGCGGTACCTACTTCCAAGGTCGCCCTCCAAAGTCCGTAAACATGTACTGGCGTCGCTTCGCTGTGGCTGATATTCCCATACATGATGAGAAGGAATTTTCCGACTGGCTTCTCGCTCGCTGGCGCGAAAAGGATGACCTCCTGCAGCACTTTGTCGAACATCAGCGTTTCCCCGCAGACGAAGGCCAAACACCCAACGTGAATGGCGGACAACCCTTGAAGGGCGCAGGCTGGATCGAGACGGATGTCCGACCAGCCAAGTGGTATGAATGGCTGCAAATTTTCGTACCAACTGCCGCTTTGGCACTCATCGCCAATGTGTTTGTCAAGATTTACAACATCGTAATGAATGTGGCTGGTGTGAAGTCGTAATGTGATATAGATGGGTTGGAGGAAACATGAGTCTTGGAGTGGATATCAAGAGCGATAGAGCTGCTTGGCGTGGATTGTGCTGTGGAAGGGGTGCTGTGTGTGTAGGTAGAGAGCTTTGATACCCCTGTTTGATTACCCCTGTTTATCTCTCTACTCTGACTATAGGAACAACAATGCAAATTTGTTATTACCCAATGAAAATGAAAAACAAGAATCCATACATGCGTACATATGTCATGTGTATGAAACACCAAGTTGCCGTTGATTTACCTTCTATTCTATCCTTTCCGTATACGTACATGTTGCGATATGGGTCATGTGATTCTTCAATCTATGTCTTTTGCCTGAGTGACAACAGGGCTGAGCTCCCCACTGCGCTCAAGTTGATATGGTACGGAATCTTGAAAGCGTAGTCGCTGCTGTCGCTCAAGTTTGTTACTTGAGACGCATTTTATCATCACTTGGACAATCCTGGATATATAAAATCGTCTCTCAACGTTCTCGGCCGTAGAAACAAAAAACGAGACTGTCTTGTCAAAGTGAACTTGACATCATCTCCCTCCAGTCGAGAAGCGAAGCTTGCTAGTTCCGATGCGGCCTAGCAGTTACCGAAATTCAACCCACCCGTGACTCCACCTACTGAGGCTCAACCTTCAAGATCCGCCATCGCAAACCCGCGACCGCAAACAACACATATCATATCCATCATGGCGACATTAACAGTAACAGAAACACAAAACAAGAGGAGGCTGCCCAAGAATGTCAAGTTGCCGCCAGAAAACGAGCGCTACATGCGGGCGTGCGCAGATATTGCGTCTGCGCTCATCCAAGACTACGAATCACAGGCAGATGGAGCAAAACCAAAAAGAGACTTGAATCTGAACTCTCTGCGAGGGCAAATCGCAAAGAAGCATTATCTGAAGAGCCAGCCGCCGCTTACGGCGATTATTGCGGCGGTCCCGGAGCACTACAAGAAATATATCTTACCGAAACTTATCGCAAAGCCGATCCGTATGTGGGATGGAATGGGAAACTAGCAAGCCATATGCAAGCTGACGTGGCGGTAGGTACATCATCGGGTATTGCAGTGGTTGCAGTCATGTGCAAACCCCACCGCTGCCCACACATTTCCTACACTGGTAACATATGTGTATACTGCCCTGGAGGACCAGACTCGGACTTTGAGTATTCAACACAATCCTACACAGGCTATGAGCCGACGTCTATGCGCGCCATCCGAGCGCGATATGATCCGTACGAGCAAGCCCGTGGTCGTGTCGACCAAATCAAGTCACTGGGCCACAGCGTAGACAAAGTAGAGTACATTATCATGGGCGGCACATTCATGTCTCTGCCAGAGTCCTACCGAGATGAGTTCATCTCCCAACTACACAACGCGCTTTCAGGATATCAAACCAAAGACGTTGACGAGGCGGTTGCAGCGGGCGAGATGAGCAACATCAAGTGTGTTGGCATCACAATCGAAACGCGGCCAGACTACTGTCTAGACCAGCATCTCTCATCAATGCTACGATACGGCTGCACCCGTCTGGAAATCGGCGTCCAGTCTCTCTACGAAGACGTAGCCCGCGACACCAACCGCGGACACACGGTTGCTGCCGTCGCAAAAACCTTTTGCCTCGCCAAAGACGCCGGCTTCAAAGTAGTATCACACATGATGCCCGACCTGCCCAACGTGGGCATGGAGCGCGACCTCGACCAGTTTGTTGAGTACTTTTCCAACCCAGACTTCCGCACCGATGGCCTCAAAATCTACCCCACGCTCGTCATCAGAGGCACTGGCCTCTACGAGCTGTGGCGGACAGGCAGATACAAGAACTACACTCCCAATGCCCTCATCGACATCGTGGCCCGCATCCTCGCCCTCGTACCCCCATGGACCCGCATCTACCGCGTGCAACGCGATATCCCCATGCCTCTCGTGACGTCTGGCGTGGAAAACGGCAATCTGCGAGAGCTGGCGCTGGCGCGGATGAAAGACTTTGGTACGTCGTGCCGCGATGTGCGCACGCGCGAAGTCGGCATCAACGAGGTCAAGCACAAGATTCGGCCGGACCAGGTCGAGCTCGTGCGCCGCGACTACACGGCCAACGGCGGGTGGGAAACATTTCTCGCGTATGAGGATCCCAAGCAGGATATCTTGATTGCATTGCTGCGGCTGCGCCAGTGCTCAAACGAACATACGTTCCGCGAGGAGCTGACGGGCCAGCCTTCGTCTCTGGTGCGCGAACTGCATGTATATGGCTCGGCGGTGCCGATTCATGCCAGGGATCCAAAGAGGTTCCAGCATCAAGGGTATGGCACGCTCTTGATGGAGGAGGCGGAAAGGATCGCGAGGGAGGAGCATGGAAGTAAGAAGATTAGCGTCATCTCAGGCGTGGGTGTCCGCAGTTACTACGCCAAGCTGGGCTACTGGCTCGACGGGCCGTACATGAGCAAGACGCTCGAGCCGCTGTGGGAGAGGGAGTGGTAGGGCATGTCATGTGCCTAAGGCTTCATGGTGAGCGTCTGCATTGTTGGCGCTGCATCACGGTACAAGGAGATGCAATATGCACGGCGCATGCAAGTGTAAAGATTGCTTGTATTGCGTTGAACAAAATATCTTGTTATGGAACTGCAGAAACCGCCTGTGCCCGCCAAACGCCGTGTACCATGTTACAAAGTGCAGATGCTCTTCCATGCCTCAACAAGATGCACCCGTGTTTACCAGCTAGCGTGCTTGTGTCACGTCTAACCAAACCTTGAACCTCCTCAACTCGTACAACTATCCTACCATCGTATGCTACGTCATGCTAAATCATGATAGGCTTATCGCGCCGCGACGGCTTTCGCGCAGGTGAAGGAGGGCCTGCAGTCCACAGAAAACGAAGAACCCCTATGCGCAGTTAGTAAATTGCGCTCCCTGGTATACCCATGATACGTACAATGTATATGAAGACGGCGCCGAAGACGGCGCCAGCAACAGCGGCACCGTCCTTGGGGTCTTCCTCTCCGCCCATTACCGTGTTGCTATGTCCCTACACATTGCGTGTTAGCATTTCCTCGAGAGCTCCGAGATGCTACAAGATGCGCGACAGCTCGTTCGTCGCTGCGAGCGCATATCTCCTGGATAGACGTACTTTGAACAGGGATCCTATGGTGGAGAGAATGACGATGGCAAAGAGCGACACGACAATGCTACAAACACATTAGCTCCATCATCTCCTCCAGCACAGCTGGAATCGCGCATACCATGTCCACGCATTCATCGCCGAAACAACGGGCTTCACCATGATGGGCGAGTTGGGGAGCTTCGACGTCGTTCCGGGGCGGATAGCTGATCGAGCGTGTGTTTCGAGCGCGACTTTGGCGCTCTTGTTGGATCAGAGATCGACTTGGATTGTTGGGAAAGGGACGTTTTCGAAGCGAGATGGAGCGGCTCGAGGGGCAGACGGGTTGGCGATGGTGGAGGCTAGAAGAGTCGAGGTTCCTGGAAGCCTGGAGTCGTCATGTCTTGCCGCGCCGGCGGCAGCGGGGTGGTCCGTGCGCGCGAGCTGCATCAACGTCAACACCTGCGAGCTGTGCAGCAGATTATACACACACGGATTTCGTCACGCCAGACCCATGCTAATACGTACTACCAGGAGGACTTGGGGATGGAACAGGAAATGCTTCACCATGTTGCATCAGGATACGAGATGGCGTTTGCGTATGTCTGCCGTAGCAATCCATGTACGAGGTGGCCGTATCAAGGTACCGTTAAAAACTTAGTCGTTGAGTTCTCTACTTCAATCTTAGCTCAGCTGACTGCACATTCCAACTGCTTAGCCCTAGGGTAGATGATGATTGATTGGGCTAACGGTTTACAAGAATGCAATCATATGCTTGCTGGAAAAAAGGGAGGAGAATGGGAACAGTTCTCACGGCACTGCATTATGTCTTTCTCGGCCTTGTTTGCATCCTCTCGAGAGTCAACTCTGAAAATATGTCTTTGTTATCCAAGAAGACGCGAGGGCTGTGATCGTCTGGAGGCATTCAACATACTCAACAACAATGCGGTGCTTGTGCACTTATATCTGCGTGATATATGATTCTCACCACGTTCCAGGCCGGTACAACCCGCAGGAAACTGATATGCTGGTCAGGCTACATACTGATTTTGACCATGGCATAAGGGGGCTGCTAAATCCTCTCGCTGTAGTTGCTCTAACCGTAAGACGACTTCTAGACTGCCAAATGGAGCTCTCACCCTGATGGCTCTTGCGCTGCATCTCGTCGCTAATGTCGTGTGGAGATATGCTTGCCGTCACCCATGCGAAGACGAACAAGTCCAGTAGCGAAACAACGATGGAACACAACCTGGTGTCGGTATGAAAAGCAAGTACTGGTACTTGGGTGAGTTGAACGAATGTATTGAAATGATGACACTATTTTAGAGCAATACAAAAGGGTCGGAACCAAGAATGTCAATTACAAGAGCAAATGTGTCAGCTCTCGCCAGCAGGCACAAGCACTCCATGTCCGCAATTGGTGATACAAACTCTAAGGGTCTAGAAGATGGATTCAGGTTATTTGTGCCACAAGATGCCTGTAACTTGAAGCAAGAAAGTCGCTTACACGAATACACATCAGGTTGCGGGTGGAGGTTGCAAGCTCAGCAAGACCTGAGGAGGCACTAGTCCCCATGCAGACGAGATGAAAGCCGTCACGTGAGTTCGCGGCTCTCATGACGACGACGCGTCGCGCCGTCCCCGCCTCACGTCAGGCAGCAGGCGCCCGGGTGAGAGCAGCCAAAAGTCATCATCAGCGCATTTTGCATCCCTTGTTTCGCATCCCAATCGGCCAATCCCTACTTCTTGACGCATTTGCCACTTTGTCCCTGAATTTGCCACTCAGATCCCGTGAACGCGCGATCGAGTTTCCGGCGCCGCGGTGACAGGGGCGCATCGCCGCGACCCTCCCCCTCATATCCTCTTTGGGATCTTCACTCCTCCGTCGACATTCATCGTCCTTCATCCGCTCACTAAGTACCTGCGCCCAGCGCACATTTCAATCTTTCGTTACAGCCACTGCTGCCTTCCTTTGCTTCCATACCCCTCTCCTACCATGGCGCCGCGGCGATCCACCCGCAAGTCGACCAACAGCGTCGCCAACCATGTCGCCCCAGCACCCTCACCAGTGCCTGCAGCCAGTACGTGCAGGCCGCTTGGGCTTTCGTTCTGTGAACGCTCTCTCTTGATTTTGGCGCTGACCGTGTCGTAGATTTGATTGATTCCCCCATGACGGACAGTCGCCACAAACAGAAGCGCACTCGCGCTTCTCGCTCCTTTGTCCCCAATTCTTCCGACCACGAGAATGAATCAATCGAAGTTGAGGCGCCCAACCAGCCTGCGCAGGTGCGCAGGGTTCTCAAAGAAGTTGCCATTCCCGCTACGAAGCCTCGCAAGGCGCCTGCCACGCGTGGTCGGCTCTCTAGTCTCAATGCCCAGCAAACAGAACAGGAGAGCTCGACCAGTCCTCCTTCGATGGACAACTCAGACTATGAAACACCAGGAACGAGCATCTCAACCACTCCGGCTGTCTCGGTTGGCCATGGCAAGATGGCCGCTCGCAATGGCCGCGGCAAGGCCACCACCCCTTTGCAAAACGCCTCGTTTAACTCAAAGCGAGCCCGACATGTGGTCTTAGACTCAGATTCCGAAAGCATGACGCTCGATATGGATGAGGAAATTGCCTTGCAAATGCAGCTCGAAGACGAGATGGATGCACCGCGAAGCAAGCGCCAGAAGACCGAAGAAGACGAAGACGAAGACGAGGATGTGGATATGCTCTCAGAGGAAGAGCCAGTAATGCCTGCTTCTCGCAAGAAAATGCCTTCATATAAAGGCAAAGGCAAGGCTAAAGCCGAAGAGGTTTTCAGCGACGACGACCGAGATTCATTGTTGGATGAGCTGTCGCCACCTCGCTATAAGGGTAAAGGAAAAGGCAAAGCCCAAGACGCACCTAACAAGCGCTCTCGCTCTGTCCGCTCAAGCGCGAAGAAACAGGGCCGGTTCACAGAGGAAGATTTCATAGATGACGAAGAGTCTGATGGAGGAGAGTTCCGTCCCGATGATTTGGATGATCTTGAGTCCCTGCTTGATGCTGAGGTCCTAGGCCCAAGCGACACTGAGGAAGAGCCGTTGATGACGACCGCTGCGCGCCTGAGGAAGGCGGTGGCAGAGAGGCCAATCAAAGCAGCTCGACGCAGCAAGAAAGCGCAGACTCACGGCGAAAGGCTAGAAGCGTATCAACGGAGGGCCAGGTTTGCACACATTGCAGATAAATGGGAGCGAAAGCGTGCCATGAACCGCGAACGAGCAGAGCAGCAGCATCCAAAACTACGCACCATGTGGGATGATTTGAAGAAGATTCCCGTTCTCGAAGTCCAAAAGGCCGAACAGCCAACGTCAATCACCCGGCGGCTGAAGCCATTCCAGCTCGAGGGACTTAGCTGGATGGTTCGTCAAGAGCAGACTCACTACAAAGGTGGTTTGTTGGGAGACGAGATGGGCATGGGCAAAACTATTCAGGCCGTCTCGTTGATCATGTCTGATTATCCCGCAAAACAGCCTACGCTTGTCTGCGTCCCTCCCGTCGCTCTCATGCAGTGGACAAATGAGATTCGCGAGTATACGGATAACAAGCTCAAGGTGCTTGTGTATCACGGTACAAACGCCAAGTGCAAGAAGATGTCGGTCAAGGAGCTGAAATCCTACGACGTCATCATGGTCTCGTACAACTCGTTGGAATCGCTACACCGAAAAGAAACAAAGGGATGGTCTCGCGGAGACGACATCATCAAGGAAGCATCTTCACTCCACGCCATCTACTACCACCGCCTCATCCTGGACGAGGCGCATAGCATCAAGTCACGCAATACTGGTGTAGCCAAGGCTTGCTTCGCGTTGAGGAGTAACTACAAATGGTGCTTGTCCGGCACACCGGTCCAGAACCGCATTGGAGAGTTCTTCTCGCTTCTCCGATTCTTGGAGGTTCGTCCTTTTGCGGATTATTTCTGTCGTTCCTGCGACTGCGAGAAGCTGCACTGGGCTACTGACGACGACCATATGTGTGTTGCGTGCAACCACGGTGCGTCTGAGCACATCTCAGTGTTCAACCAGGAGCTGCTTAATCCCATTACAGGCGACGACCCTGAGCTTCGCGAAGAGGCCTTGTCAAAACTCCACCTCATCACTGCCCGCATCATGTTGCGACGCATGAAGCGTGACCACACCAACTCGATGGAGCTTCCAATGAAGGACATCATCATCCACAACGAGTTCTTCAGTGAAGTTGAGCGCGACTTTTCGACCTCAATCATGTCAAACTCTTCGCGCAAATTTGATACGTACGTCGCCCAGGGAGTGATGCTCAACAATTACGCCAACATCTTCGGTCTCATTATGCAGATGCGTCAAGTCGCCAACCACCCCGATTTGCTCCTTAAGAAGAATGCCGTCGAAGGCGCTAGCAATGTCTACGTGTGCAACATTTGCGATGAGCCTGCTGAGGATGCAGTTCGGTCTCACTGCCGTCACGAGTTTTGCCGTGCGTGTATCAAGGACTTTATGGACACTTGCGAAGCCTCTGGTACCGAAGCCGACTGCCCTCGCTGTCACATTGCGCTATCCATTGACTTTGAGCAACCCGAACTTGAGCAGGACGAAGACTCTGTGAAGAAGACTTCGATCGTCAACCGCATCAAGATGGAGAACTGGACTTCTTCCACCAAGATTGAGATGCTAGTCTACGATCTGTACAAGCTACGCAGCAAGAAGCAGACACTGAAGTCGATTGTCTTTAGTCAGTTCACTTCCATGTTGCAACTGATTGAGTGGCGTCTTCGTCGTGCTGGGTTCAACACGGTCATGTTGGATGGTAGCATGACACCGGCCCAACGCCAGAAGAGTATTGACCATTTCATGACGAACCCGGATGTGGAGGTCTTTCTTGTTTCTCTCAAGGCGGGTGGTGTTGCACTCAACTTGACCGAAGCGTCTAGGGTGTTTATTGTCGACCCGTAAGTTTGGTACTCGTATGTGCAGTTGAAGTTGCTAACAAATGTATAGATGGTGGAACCCTGCTGCCGAATGGCAGTCTGCGGATCGTTGTCACCGTATCGGCCAGCGTCGCCCTTGTGTCATTACTCGTCTCTGCATAGAGGACAGTGTGGAGTCGCGCATGGTTGCGCTCCAGGAGAAGAAGGCAGCCATGATTGCTGGAACGGTCAATAACGACAAGGTTGCCATGGACCGCCTGAGTCCTGAAGATCTGCAATTCTTGTTCCGTGGTACCTAGGCTAGTGTAAGGGAGTCATGGGCGTATTGCTGGATACATGGGTATGGAGTTAGCTGGTCGTGTGGATGCTTGCGGCGTTACATGGGTGGGTGCCATGACCTGGATTCGACGCGCAACGAACTTAGGTTCATAGAGCGTCTCACTTAGGTTTATACCCATATGGTTTTCATACATGTAGTTTTCCGCCTTCACTCTCTTTATGATAGGTTCCAAGTACCAAGTCTGGGGCGCCGTATGCAGGCTGTTTGTGGTATCCGAAGCTGACGTAGATCGCGGGCCTGATTACCCTGACCCAGCAAGCACAAGCATCGCGCGCTAACAATGTGAGGTACGACAAGCCCATGCGCCGCATCTCTGCCCACGATGTCTCGAGCAACCCTTCGGTTTACCAATCTATTAGAAACCGCCACCATGGCACAGGATATCGTTATTGCGCGTGGGTGCACAACGCCAATCAGGCCGCTCTCCGCTGCCGCTCTCCGCTCACCAGCCTTGGCCCCTAAGTACGCCCCGTCCAAAGCCCTTGGTGGCATGGTGACGGGCAGTAACAGCTTCCAGACATGCCTCTCTCCTCGCCGTCGAGCGTATCCGCGGAAACCGAGGAGATGTTCTGTGGTCGCAGATTTATGGTACGTAATATTACGTAACCAAACTAAGCCCGTGTAGCGCGTGAGCAGAATGCGGCGTCCTTCGCATGGCATGGCCCTCTGTGCAGTCGCTGCAGCAGCCATGTGCCCCCCCGGACTCGCGACATCACAACGGTTTCCTGTGACGTGGTTTTGCCGGCCCTTTTTTGGACTACTTTCCTGCTTGCTTGCCTGCAACAGCCTCGTGCCGTATTGCGGTAGGAGATCGGCCGCCAATCCTTTATGTACAGGGCCGGAGTTGCCTGCGAGGCATTATTGACGCGGGTAACGGCATAGGGCGTGGTGTGAGTGGTAGAGGTGACGCTTATTATTGCCCCTCGACTTTCCCTCTCGATTGTGCTTTTATATCTTTTGGTCATTTGGTGTGCTGCTGTTGACGTCGTTTGTTGCTGTGGCTGCTGGTGCTTTTCTGGTCTTGTTTGCTCCTGAGGGAGAGTGTGAACCTGCAACCATGGTCATGGGGGCCTTTTCCGAGGCCAGGAACTGGGACCTCGATATTGATGGCTACCTCAACCGCATTTTGCCTCCGTCGCCGCTGCATAAGTTCCCGGCTCCTGTGTCGAGGTTCCTTGGGTACAGGAAGGAGGCGCGGCAGGATGTTGGTAACATCCTCGGAGCCTTCTGGTCCATGTTGGGTGCGTTTTGCGGACTTGGTGTTGTGGCTGCTGTGTTCAACAAGACCGAGAGCATACAGTGGCATCACCCGCCTGCGCTGATTGCTTCGTTTGTAAGTACTCGGCTGTGTGGGTTGTACTGGTGCTGGTTACTCATTCTTTGAGCAGGGTGCGTCCGCTGTGCTGGAGTACAACTCTATCCGATCACCTCTTGGTCAACCTCGCAATGCCCTGTTGGGTCATACCTTCTCAGCACTCATTGGCGTTAGCATATCGAAGCTCTTTCAATACCATTCCGACTATGACTCGATCAGATGGATTGCTGGTGCCGTGGCTTGTGGTTGCGCGTCCGCCGTCATGCTCTTGACCAACACTGTGCACCCACCTGGAGGCGCGTCCGCTGTGTTGGCGGCAACAGATCCTGGCATCACAGCGATGGGCTGGTACTTTGTCGGGCTGGTCATGTGGGGCACGACGTTGATGCTGATAGTCGGGCTGTTTATCAACAACATCCAACGACAATTTCCAGTCTATTGGTGGACACCGTTGGACTTGCGAAAAGCAAGGGTGAAAGACGAAGAGGTCATACCGGACGGCAGGGGCGGCTTGGAACGAAGAAAGACGACAGAAGAGCAGCACTATAGCCAGGAAGGAGAGCGAATAGAGATCAATGGCGCCGAAGTCATCTTGCCAGAGGACTTGAGCCTGAATGCAGAGGAAGCAGCAGTGTTAGCAGGGCTGAGAGAGCGGCTTCGCAAAAGAGTTGATGCAGAAGAGATGGAGGATCCCGAGAAACGGGGTACGGACAGCGCCCATTCCCACACCATGCGGAGCTACAGTGAAAGTGGGAGTAGCCGGACAGAGTCTGGTATATAGTTGTTTTGGGCTTATCAGCGTTGGGCATGGCAAAAGATAAGGACGATGACGGTTTTGGCATTTCCGGGGAGAAGCACCCCCCCCCCGCCCACCACGTCGAGGTGCCCCTGAGGCCGGAATCTTTGGCATTGCTCGCGTTACAATCGTTTATTAGGGCCTTAAAAGTAATTCAAATGCTTCTGTCTATCATGACCCTCAGCTAATGCCCTTGGGCCGCAGGACTTTGCATGCGGCGGCGTGTTTCCCCTGAGGAGGGGTACGTAGTTGGGTCCTGCTTGGCAGGCCAGAGGAGTGCAGAGACTCGTCGTCGCCATCAAGAGCATCGCCGCGTTGCAGTTAATTCTTCAATGCCCGCATGATTATGGCTATGGCTCTCGATGGGCGTGACTAGGAGTGGGCAGACATGTGCAGCGGTACCAGCGCCTTAGTTGCCCTATGATGCATGGTGGGGGGGACGCTCATTGGCCGTGCGCAGCCTTCGCCACAAGTAAGAAAATTGATTCCCATGGCCTTGATGTTGCAGCCAGCGCTGAGAAGAGACTTTTGCCTCTTCTCTCTCCATCCCCTTGCAACCTCTTTCGTCTGTCGCACCGCCTCTTACGCCCTGTATCCTCCCGTCGTTGGCAGCATCGAGCGTTGCGCCCTGACCGGAATCCCAAACACGCACAAGCACACGCAGCTTGGGCATTATCGATAAGAGGCTTAGCGGGGTCACAGATTGGCTGTGTTCCCAACCCTACGAAATTTCCTCCTCTCTTCCTCCACCCCCCCCCAGAGTCCTTTTCCTGCCGCCACAAAGACACCATGGTCTCCGCGTCCAAAGCCGCCCGCCAGGCAAAGCGCGCCGCCGAGGGCGATGCGAAGCCCAAGAAGTCGGCCACTTCCAAGTTGTCGTCCAAGGCAAACTCCAAGAATGCCTCCAAGGCCAACTCGGAGGCCGGCGACCAGCCCGAGGATCTCGAGCTGAATGAAGAAGTGCAGAAGCTCACCCTCCAGGAGGACAAGCACGGCCTGTCGGACCGTGTGACCACCGGTGTGCTCGCCTCGCTCGAGCAGTCGCGCGACGTCAAGATCATCTCGGCTTCGCTCGTGTTCCACGGTAAGGTGCTTTTCAACGACTCCGTCCTCGAGATCAACTACGGCCGTCGATACGGCCTGTTGGGCGAGAACGGCTGTGGAAAGACGACGCTGCTCAAGGCCATCGACAAGCGCGAGTTCCCCTTCCCCGAGCACATCGACATCTACCTGCTCAACCAGGGCGCCCCCAAGACGGAGCTGGGTGCCTTGGACTGGGTCGTCCGCGAGGCTGAGACGGAGCTGGCCCGTCTTGAGAAGATGGCCGAGGACATTCTCGAGAAGGATGGTCCTGAGAGCCCGCTGCTCGAGGACATCTACGAGGTACGTTGCAGCCAGACGAAGTGCATCTCCGCCCGACTGACTCATCAAAACAGCGTCAAGAAGACATGGACCCATCCACCTTCCATACCCGCGCTTCTCTCATTCTGACCGGTCTTGGCTTCAACAAGGTCACCATCAACAAGAAGACAAAGGACATGTCCGGTGGCTGGCGTATGCGTGTGGCGCTTGCCAAGGCTCTTTTCGTCAAGCCTGCGCTGCTCCTGCTCGACGACCCCACTGCCCATTTGGATCTCGAGGCCTGTGTGTGGCTTGAGGAGTACATGAAGAAGTGGGAGCGCACCCTGGTGCTTGTTTCCCACTCGATGGACTTCTTGAACGGCGTGTGCACAAACATGATTGACATGCGTCAGAAGAAGCTCCTCTACTACGGAGGTAACTACGATGCCTACCACAAGACTCGCAGCGAGCAAGAGATCAACCAGACCAAGGCCTACGAGAAGCAGCAGGACGAAATCAAGCACATTAAGAAGTTCATTGCTTCGGCCGGTACCTACGCCAACTTGGTCAGGCAGGCCAAGTCGCGCCAGAAGATCTTGGACAAGATGGAGGCCGATGGCCTCATTGAACCTGTGGCCGTTGACAAGGTCTTTACTTTCCGTTTCGCCGATGTCGAGAAGCTCCCGCCACCTGTGCTTTCGCTGGACGACGTCACCTTCTCGTACTCGGGAAAGCCCGAGGACAACCTGTACGAGAACCTGGACTTTGGTGTTGACATGGACTCACGAACGGCTCTTGTCGGACCCAACGGTGTCGGAAAGTCGACTCTGCTCAACATCTTCACTGGAAAGCTCAGCCCTACGTCTGGTGTCGTCTCGCGCCACACCCACTTGAAGCTCGGTGTGTACAGCCAGCACTCTGCTGAACAGCTCGACCTCACCAAGTCTGCGCTTGACTTTGTCCGCGACAAGTTCCACCACATCAGCCAGGATGTCCAGTACTGGCGCCAACAACTCGGTCGCTACGGTATGACTGGCGAGGCACAAACATCCAAGATGGCCACTCTGTCCGACGGTCAGAAGTCGCGTATCGTCTTCGCCCTGCTGGCTATCGAAGGCCCCAACATGTTGCTCCTTGACGAGCCTACCAACGGTCTGGATATCCCCACGATTGACAGTTTGGCGGATGCCATCAACGCTTTCAGCGGCGGTGTTGTTGTAGTCTCGCACGACTTCAGGTATGTTGATGGCGTGCATGCACAAGTCTGCTCAGTGTGCTAACTTGAACTAGATTGCTTGACAAGATTGCCAAGGACATTATGGTGTGCGAGCACAAGACGGTCCGCCGGTGGGACGGTAGCATTGCCGAGTACAAGAACCACCTCCGCAAGAAGATGGCTTCGACCGGTGCTCTCTAAGCGGAGGGTTGGGAATGGGTTTACAAAATGCATGCGTCCTTTGAGCAGCGGGACGCGGGTACATAGCTAAAAGTAATGGCCTCAGAGCAGGTGTCAGGATACCTCTGCAGTAGGCTGGCAGCTCACCGCTACCTGCGTCAGTGTCTTTTGCGATAAAAGGCAACTGGATTATGCGTCATGATGCATTGGGTCTTAGAGGAGTTTTAGAGTTAGTTATGATCAGAATGATATCATATAGAAGCAGCTGATTGGATGGACACGCTGTGATTGTAGCAGTAGGATTGATAGGGGGGTTTCAGTTTATATCTCAAGCATCCCATGTTGCTGTGGGCTGGGTGTGGTAGAGCAGAGCATGTGACTGGCTTCGCACCATGGTCTCTGCACGTGCCCGTCTGTGAGCCATGAGCTGTGACGAACACCCCCGCCAGTTGAAGCTCCGCGGTGGAGCTCCAACACGCACATGTCTTCTGACATTCGCCCATCGCCAAGTTCTCCCTTACCGTGAATCCTGCCCCGACTGCCTCGACCGGGAATTGGGCGGGACATCCAACTGCAACATCCGCCCACCATGGCGGAGCTCACGAGCACAAAGCTCAATGCCGAATCCCATCTCCTCCTCGTACGGGCCCGCACCCACTTCCCACCAAGCATGGCGCCCATCTAACACACCCGCCGCAGGACCAGCCGCTCCTCCGCATGCCCTATGAGCTCTCACGGCGCAACTTCAAAAACGCACAGCGCGCCATCGAACACTCGACAACCGCCTTCACGACGTCGCTCAACGCCACCACCAAAGCCGCATCCAAGGGCACTGCCGCCCCCGCCGCCACGCTCGAGTCGCTCGACACCCTCATAACCAAAATGCAGGGCCTCAAGCGCAAACTCGAAGGCCTGCATGAAGAGGAATCCCGCATCCACCGGTCGGCCAAAGCGCGGCTGCAGCACCTGCAGGACCTGTACGGCGTGCACAGTCTCGTCGACGTCAAGTACGACGAGTGGTCGCGCACGCGCCTCAGCCGGCTGCTGGTCGACTACCTTTTGCGCGAGGGGTACGCTGAGAGCGCAGCGTGTCTTGCGCAGAGCAAAGGCATCACTGAGCTGGTTGATGTGGATGCCTTTGTGGGGTGCCATCGCATTGAGCGCAGTCTGCGCGAGGGCATGAGCACAACGCTCGCTCTTGAGTGGTGCAAGGAACATGGCAAGGAGCTCAAGAAAGCGGGGAGTATGCTGGAGTTTGAATTGCGCTTGCAGCAGTACATTGAGCTGGTTAGGCAGGGGCATGAGGCGGGGTTGAGCGGTATGGATGGTGTTGAGACGGCGGACGAGGGCGGTAGCATGCATGGAGTTAGTATTCGAGGGGGTAGTGGAGGTGGAGAGGCAAAGTTGGTCGAGGCCAGGGCGCATGCGAAGAAGTATCTGAGTACGAGTGGGGATTTCAAGCTCATGAGGCAGGCGGCGGGTATGCTGGCGTATAGGCCATGGGACGAGGTGGAACCGTATGCGGTGAGTCTGATTTCTTCTTCTATACTACAGGAATTGGGCCTTTTATTCTTGTCCTTGGATCGACTAACAATACGCCAGTCTCTCTACTCGCGCTCGCGCTGGTCCCATCTCGCCGACATCTTTCTCTCCACCCACCACAACATGTACTCGCTTCCGCCCCGACCCCTCCTACACATTGCACTGAGCGCGGGGCTGTCCGCCCTCAAAACGCCAGCCTGCCACTCGGAATACACGTCCTCGTCTACAAACGCCTCATCGTCGGCCACTACCGTGTGTCCCATCTGCAGCGCCGAACTCAAGGAACTAGCGCGCAACGTGCCGTATGCGCTGCATACCAAGAGTATCGTCGAAGACGGGCCTGTGGTCCTGCCCAATGGACGCGTCTATGGGTCGGAGCGGCTACGTGTGTTTAACGAGAAGATTGGGACGGAGAAAGGGTGGGTCAGGGATCCGGTTGGCGGGTTGGCCGGGGAGAAGTGGAAGGAGAGTGAGTTGCGCAAGGTGTACATCATGTGATGTCTTTTTTTCTTTGGCGGCGTGAGTTCCTTGTCTTTTTCGTTGTTTTGTAGCAGAACGGTACGGCATGGCATGGCATGGCATGGCGTTATTGGGTGAGGCGTCACATTCCCGGTGTGGCCCTCTTTGCTTGTGTAGCTTTTAGTCTTACGACCTCCTCTTAGCCAGTATATGTTTTGTTTCAAACGCGCCGTGGGTGGGGGGGGACTGGGCGGCCTCAGTCATCGGAATCGTCATCACCATCATCATCATCGTCCTCTTCCTCTTCCTTTCTCTTCTTTTTCTTTTACTCTTCTTCTTCTTCTTCATCTTCACCCCCATCCAAAGCCCTCTTCATAGCCTCCTTCTGACTCGGCAACCGCCCCCCTCTGCCCACCTTGCCCAGCCTCGCCATCTCCTTCTCCTCATCACTATCGGCCACAAGCGGAACCTTCTCAAACACATAGATGCGCGCCTCGCGGTCCTCACCCTTCCACCCGCCGCCGCCCTCGAGCGCCCCCAGTGTGCGCACATGACGGTAACCGGGATACTGGGCCCAATCGAACCGCCAGCTTTCGACGACGCGCAGACCGGCGTGGCGCGCGAGGTCGCGGATGTTCCAGAGCGTGTAGGGTTCGCCTTCGAAGAGCGTGACAATGATTTTGCCGCCCATGCGGAGGAAGGGCTTGATATTGTGCTGCTCCTTGTTATTGTATGGTGATTCAGCAGCCTTGCTGCCTTTGTTCTTCTCCTGCTCTCTCTTCTGATGCTGCAGAATTTGTAGTCGCCGCTTCGGACTCGACGTGTCGATGCAGGATTTGAAAAAATCGACGAGCAGCGCTTGGTTGGCGCGCACCTGGCGGTTGACATCGGTGGATAAGCCGCCAGTGTGTGGGAACATGAAGGTGATGATGTCCCAGCCTTCTTCTTGTTCGGCACTGCCATTGTCGTCGTCGTCGTCGCGCTTGCAGCGCAGATGCTTGTAGCTCGACAGCTTTGTCGCATCGATGGCGTGGTGCAGAGGGACCGGCGGGGTGAGCTGCGCGAGGTCGGTGGAGATGGAGGAAAAGGTAGGGTATTTGCTGCGGACGTGGTCGAGAGAGTCGTAGCTTGTGCCTGTGACGTTTGCGCAGCCGTGCTCAATGGCGAGGGAGCGTGTGAAGCTAAAGTCGCCCTCGCCGACGAGCAGAATGTGGTCGTATTCGCCAAAGGGAATGGCGTGTTTGCGCTGTGAGGGCTGGTTGTGTGCAGGCTTGGTCGCGGGTACGTCGTTTGCGGCGGCGGTATTCATCTTCTGCTTCTTCTTTGCGGGTGCCTTTGTCGTGACCTGCTTGGGTTCGGCGGCTTTGGCAGCTTTGCGGTGGTGGGCGGCGATTTTCCTCTCGCCTTCGCGCTTGAGTTCTCGGCGCGCGCGCTTCGTCTTGGTCTTGGACATGGCTGCTGCGTGGGAGATTGTTCTCGTGCTGGTGCTTTCGCAAATGCATCCATCTCGGAGGTTTGCGGGGAACTTTTGGGAAAATGGTAAGCTTGGGCCACCTTCAGTCAAGGTGCAGCATCTGCATGTGAAGAGTCATGCAGAACTGGCATGTTTCTGCAGGAACATGTGTCAAAAGATTACAAAGCAGTTCTCCAGCATGCATTGAGTGCGTCTAGATGCAATGTCATGAATTTCTTAATGACTAGAATGTACAATCGACCTCTGTGCGGCAACCACAGTCGGTAAGCCTGCACACCTCAACAGTTGAAGAAAACATGGTAGCGTCCTCTTATATCAGGTCACGCTTGACAAACTGGTCGTACAGAGTAGATCCGAGCTTGGCCGGGGAGCGCTCGACAGTCACACCGGCCGCCTCAAGCGCGGTGATCTTGGAGTTGGCATCACCCTTGCCACCGCTGACAATGGCACCAGCGTGGCCCATTCGCCTGCCTGGCGGTGCCGAGATACCGGCAATGAAGCTGACAACGGGCTTGTTGGCCGTGTTGTACTCCTTGAGGAAGTCGGCGGCATCCTCCTCGGCGGAACCACCAATCTCACCAATCATGATGATACCGTCAGTCTCCTCGTCCTTGAGGAAGACCTTCAAGCAGTCAATGAAGTTGGTTCCGGAGAAGGGGTCACCGCCGATACCAACAACGAGCGACTGGCCAAGGCCGGCTTGGGTAGTCTGGTTGACGGCTTCGTAGGTCAGAGTTCCGGAGCGGGAGACGATACCGACGCGGCCGCGCTTGTGGATGAATCCAGGCATGATGCCAATCTTGCATTGGCCCTGGTCAAGTCAGCAGCCTATCCAGACATGTGTGTGTGTGTGCGTGAAGACGTACGGGAGCAATGATACCGGGGCAGTTGGGGCCAACCATGCGGGACTTGCTCTGCGTCTTGAGCATGTCGGTGATGCGCACCATGTCTGCCTCAGTCAGCCTCCAATTCTTGCAGGTTACCATTGGCTTTCATACCGTGTTGGGGAATGCCCTCGGTGATACTGTCCATTGTAAGTTTCCGTGTACCTCAGTTTCCATATGCACAACCTACGTCACAATCAGAGGGACCTCGGCGGTAATGGCCTCCTCGATACTGGCGGCGGCGACGGGCGGGCTGTGTGGTGGTTAGAGCGGATGGTCTGCACGAGCAAGCCGTGGGCGGGCGTAGCGTACGGAACGAAGATGGCGGTAGCCGAAGCTTGCGTCTCCTTGATGGCGTCGGCCACATTCTTGAAGACGGGCAGTCCAAGATGCTGAGAGCCGGCCTTCTTGGGGTTTGTGCCTCCCACAACCTTTGTGCCTAACACGGTGTCAGACATGGTGGTGCCCCCGCAGTATCAAAATAAAATGGCCGTCTGGAGGGTCGCATACCGTACTCAATGGCTTGCTGTGCGTGGAAGCTAGGTGCGTGTTAGCCGGGCGCGGCATGGCAGCTGGTCGGGCTCGCACTCACGTTCCCTGCTTTCCCGTGAAGCCCTGAAACAGAACCTTTGTGTCACTGTTGATGCGAAGGTTCTTAATCGTCTCGGCATACTGCGAGGACGCCGTCGCATACTGCCTGGTTGCGGCTTTTGAGAGGGCAGAGCGCAGCGGTTGCCGAATAGACTGCATCGTGACGGGTTGCGTGGCCACGAGAGCAGATCTGGGGGGAGGTGGTCAGGGTAGGGCTCGAGGGGTTCCGATTTGTTGGTGGTTAACGGTCTGAGCGAAGCTGCGACATACTTGGCGGGAGTTCTTCGGGTGAGCTTGGCCAACCCTGAAATCTCGTGCCAGGGCCCCGTCCGCGCCCGACAACAAGACGAAAATAACCCGCACTCGTTTGCCAGCACCCGCGCAGAGGATGCGCGGCTGCATGTGCGGCGCCGCATGTGTGATGACGCGCTGCCGTCTTCAGCATTGCGGCAGCGACAGTGCGAATCCGGCTTGGTCGAGTGCGAATGGCACCGCTCTCGGCGCCATGTCGAGCGTGTACGCATTGCGCCTAGAGACGTCCCACATACGAGTGTTGCGGCCGGCTGGGCATTCTCTTTTGTAGCCAGAGGCGCGCAGACTCGGGAGAAGAAGAAGAAGAAGAAGCAGAAGAAGCAGAAGACGAAAGAATCATGGTGGGGGTGGGTAGTCACTTGTTCCGACGCCCAGCCAGGTGATGCACGCAAGACTGACGTGCGTGCCATGTGCCCGTCATGCTGGTGCGACGGTTTCATACTTGATTCACGGTCGTGGTCGTGGCCGTGGTCGCATGATTCAGCTCTTTCACAGTGCATGCCCTGCATGAAACATATTCACATGGGAGCGTCATCCGGCATGGGTGCAGCCAAGTGCGAGGGGCAGCCAGGATAGCTAGCTGTATTTACATCTACTACATGTCTTGTACACAGCCAGAGAAGGCTGGCCGTTAGTCGTTGAGTTTGCCATGGAATGGAATGCCAATGGCTTGGAGCAGCAGGCGCGCGTCCTTGTTGCTTGTGGCGTCGGTTTGGATGGTGATGTGGCAGCCGGGAATCATCTTGGGCGGATAGCTGGACTGTGTGTCAGTAGGGCGTGAGGGGGTGGTGGGCTGGCAACAAGACTCACGCGTCGTAGTTGACCTCGATCTCCGGGAAGAGGGACACTTGGTCGGGGGTCAGGCCAAAGCTGAAGTTGCCGTGGCCGTCTCCCGAGGAGCCCGGCACGCCCTTCCACTCCTTGATCCTGGGCAGGACGACGTTGATGAGCTTGGCGAGGAAGTCGTCGGCGTGGGCGCGGTCCATGGTCGATGTGACTGCGACATACCTGCCCTTGCGCAGGCCCCAGCCGACGACATTGTGGCGTGCCTTGTGGGAGACGGCGCGCACGTTGCTGATGGCCTGCAGGACCATGCCGGCAACGTGTAGATGGCCGCTGTTTTCCTGGGCGTCTGGCACCATGGAGTGGACAATGACCTTTGTGAGGGCGGGCACGTTGCGGAATGTGCGCGGCTCCTGGAGCAGGCGGAGGACCTCGCCCTTGCCGCGCGGGGGGCGCAGCGGGCGGTTCTTGAAGTAGGGCGAGTCGCCGGTCCATTCGCGCAGGCGCTGGTCGGTCGTGGGGGCGCGGTAGCCGGGGGGGTAGTGCTGGTATGTGAGGGTGAGCAGGTCGGCGGCGATGGTGCTCTGGTACGTCTGCTCGAGGCGCGTCAGGCTGAAGGGGCCCGGCTGGAAGAGGCGCGACGCGGGGTCCGACTCGGGCGGGGGCTGGTGAGGGTGCAGCGGGCCGCGGTAGTACTTGGGCGAGCGATACTGGTACCTGCTGGGCGGCAGCTGCTTGTGGCCGCGCCTGCGCAGGCGGCTTGTCGCGACGGGGTCGAAGCTGGCGGCGAGCTCGCGCGGCGGCGGCGGCACCTGAAGCGAGGAAGCGTCTTCGAGGTCTCGGACGGCGTCTGACGAAGCGGGCGACGAGCCATGGCGGCGGCACACGGCCACGGCCATGGCGGCGGCGGGGCGGATGGCTGGGCGGGCGGGCATGGCCAGCGCATTCGCCGCACGCAGGGGCAGGGCACGCATGGCCATTGCGGATGGGGGGGGTGGGCGAGGCGGCGGCGGCGGCGGCGGCGATGGTGGTGGAAGTGGTGGTGGTGGTGGTGGTCGTCGTCGTCGTCGTCTATCGTCGACAGCATGCCAGGGCGTGTCTCGAAGCGACTTTTCCTTAGGCGAGACGATGAGCGCCGCAGGGATGGGCCATCTAGCAGCTCCATGCGTGCTAGGCCCAACGCGTGCTACCCCACCCGTTGGCCGCGCTGGCTGCTGCTGGCTGCGACACATGCACATGCAGTAGTACATTACTTACTTGGGAGTGGTAGTAGGCAGCACATATGCATACGTGTAGTTCGCACCCGCCCCCCGCTAACGCCCACGCCCTGCTTCACCCGCCCCCATCGTGTGCCTCGCTGCTGTCACTGTCGTCCTTTTCTTTTCCCACGCCCGCCCGCCCGCTGGGTCGCGGCGCCATCCCGTTGCTTGGCTGCCCGCCAAAAAGCCATTCGCTTCCCCCGCCGCCAGCCAGCCAGCCAGCCAGCCAGCCAGCCACGCTGCTCGTCTACTCCTTCCTCTTCCCCTCCCCTCCCCCTCCCCCCTCCTCCTCCTCCTCCTCCCCGCCTCCGCCCACTCTGCACTCGCCCGCCCGCCTCCGCCACTCCTCTGCTGTATGCATGTCCCCCGACATCCACCACCATTGCCACCATGAACGGCATGTCGCGCTTCCTCAGCCGGCGTGACAAGCACAACGAGAAGCGCGCAGCCAAGCACGCCAAATCAAAAGTACGCCCCAACTCTCTCGCTTCCCTCTCCGACCTCCGCCCCCAGAGCTCTCCTCCATGCTGTGCGCCCCCCGCCCCGCCATCGGCCCATCTGCTGCACCGCCCACGCCGCCTGTCTGCCGGCATCGAGACGCTCTACCACAAGCTTCCGTTTGTACTGCGCGCCTCGGTCCAGGACAGTCTTCTATTCATACACCACAGGACGCCATGTCACCCGCCCCCCACCCCCGCCAACTCTTCTGACCATCTGCCTCTACAGTCTCAAGCCTCCAACGCCGAGCTCGATCTCTACAAGATATTCACCAACGAAGGCCCCCGGCCCCCTGCAAGCGAGAGCAATGAGAAAAAGGTACCCAGCCACGCAGGCTCGCTGGCACATGGCTGCCTGCTAAACCACCCCAGGTCAAGATGCTCCTCACGCGCCTGCATGGTGCTGGCATATCCAAAATGACAGAGGAGCATGCCGAGCACGCACTGGCATGGCACCCGGACGACCTCGACAAGGCCTACGATCTCATGGTCCTCGCCAACGAATCGCTCGAAGGCGAACTCAAGGACTACAACCCCAACGTCACCATGCTGGGCGCCATCAACCGGAACATGGTGACGTGCTATCTGGATGCCCTGCTGTTCGCCATGTTTGCCCGCCTGGACAGCTTTGAAGCCATGCTGTACGACAACTTTGAGGACGAGCCCAGGAAGAAGCTGGCCGCCGTCTTGCGACTCTGGGTCAATCTGCTGCGGACTGGCCAGCTTATCAAAGTGGACCTGGTATAGTCTGCACTTTGCTGTAACTTCTGCCGCTAACCGCCCTCGCAGACCAAGCACCTGCAAGATTCGCTCGCAAAGTGCGGCTGGGAAGACGCCGCCCAGGTGCGACAGCAAGATGCATCCGAAGCCTTTACCTTTATCACAGGCGCCCTTGAATTGCCCCTCCTTACCCTGAAGATGGACATTTACCACACTGGACGCGAGGACAAGGAGGACGATCACAAGTTTGTCAATGAACGACTGCTCGAAGTGGCCATTCCAGAAGAAGAGACTGACCGTATTGTCACGCTCGAGGATTGCCTCGAGACGTACTTCAACAACAGAATCGAGGTCAAGCGCTACCTGCAACGCAAAAACACAATGGCTTCCATGCGGTCCAAGAGCGACGAGTTTGTCGACAGGGACCCTGAAAAGGCCGAAATGATACACATCGAGACGGCAGAGATGGACGAGCCCATGACTCCGCTCGTCTCGTCCCCGGTATCCATGGAGCCTGCCTCGCCCTTGTCGCCAAGCCGACCCAACCTAGACACGTGCCGCCGTGCTGATAGTATCTTTGGTCGGCGATACACGCGCCAGCTATCCGAAGCTCGAAAGTTCGACGAGAAGAAGCATGTCGAGGATATGCTAGACAGTAGTTCTAGTGGTCGGCCCCGCTCCGCTTCTCTGCTTAAGAAGGAGATTCTCATGCCGGCCTGGCAATTCTTCAGTCTGATCCGTAAGTTGGGCATTCCATCGATGCCCGTGTTTCTAACAAGCTGCAGCCTGGTACACCGACAACGTTCCAAGGTCCGATGCCCAGGTAGCGGCACATTTTTCTGCAAAACGCCCGGTTCTCGGCATATGCCTCAAGCGGTATTCCATGACAGCCAACGGGACACCAAAGCGTCTCGATACCTATGTTGACATTCCGCTTGACATTGGCTTGCCTCACTTTATTTCCGACGAAGGCATGAAGGAAGAGGGCCCATTGTTTGGCAACTTCAAGCTAGTGCTGCAATCGGTAGTCTGCCATCGAGGCGCGTCCGTGGACTCTGGACACTACATTGCGCTTGTTCGCGCCAACACGCATGAGCGACCTGGCACGTCACATTCCGAGTCGGAAGGCGAAGAAGACAAGTGGCTACGATTTGATGATCTTTCGGCGCAGCGTGTCACCGAGGTCAGCATCGAGCAGGCTTTGCGAGAAGAGTCGCCATATCTCCTGTTCTATCAGGTACAACCCATTGACGAAGAGTTGGCTTCCAGAGGCGATCCCCCGACGTATGCAGAAGCCCAATCCGGAATCCCGTCCGTTGATCCATCGCGCGAAACGTTGACGTCTATTTCCTCGACGGCCGCAACCGATGCCGAGACTGTTGGTGACTGGGAAAAGATTAGCGCGCCTGATGCGCATACCGAATTCAATCGCACAGACGAGCCAGCCAGTCGAAACAGCACGTCGAGCAATCGCCGGAGCAGTATTGCCTTTGAAGACGCTGATTTCCGTGGTCGAACCCAGCCGACAACACCGGCTGAGGAGAAGGGTGGCTTTTTGTCGGTTTCCAGACGCGGCTCACGCATCTGGATGTCCGGCACTGGCAAGAGCCGGCCAGGCAGCCCAAGTGCCGAAAACCGCCTATCCATCACACTGTCGCGACTGGCGGGTCGCTCTAGCAACAGCAAGTTGATGACTACGGAGACTACTGCTGGCGATGAACCGACTATTGTCATTGACAAGGCGAGCAACAGTGCAGAGAATGGCCCAAAGACACCGTCTCCAGTCAAGGAGAAGAAGGACTCTGGACTCTCGTACACCAAGACCAAAAAGGAAAAGAAGGACAGGCTGCGGAGTAAGAGCAGAGAGCCCGGTGCCGTCTTGGACAAGGGCAAGGCAAAGGGGAAGAACCGACCGGACCGCGAGTGCGCTGTAATGTAATTCCCTCTAGGGCATGTACGAGTACAAGAATCATTAGTGGGGCATTGTTGTCATTGCGCCGCTTCTCATCAGCATCGACGCATGGTGTCTGGGAGGTGGACGCCGGAGTTTCTCATTTTTTTTAGCGCGGAGTTTATGGATTACACAAGGACTGGCCTGGGTTGGCCATGGTGGTCTTGGATAAGCGTCTATTTGCATACACATTCCACAGGACTATAGATAAGATACCCTGGATTCGAATAGAACTGGAGGCATGGCCATGTGCCCACGTCTCATTTGCTCCCATGCCGCAGCTGGTGACTGTATTCCAAAACTGATTACTACATATGTGGTCTGAGAAGGTGTTGGATGCACACAGAAAGGGTAAGGTCCGGTTACGGCTAGCCAGCCTCGGACAACCTGGCCTCTTGGGGTCGCGCTAAGGTTATCCTCGCCCACCACAAAAGTCGCCCGCCCGTTCTCTCGTCCTCTTCTCCCACGTTTCGCGCAATCACCCCGCTGTGCAGGACACTTTCTCCCTCGAGCGATTGCCGAAGCGCCCCCAGAACGCAGAATCCGACTCCTCCGCCTCGACCTTCACCATGGCCATCAGCCCGCAAATGTAAGCAAAGCCCCGGCTTCCGAGGCCCGTTGAAGACAGTTTGCTAACGCCCACCATAGTTCCAACCTGGTCATCATCCTGTATGCATACTCTCCCACCCGTCGCCCACACGCGGTCAGGACCAATTTCTAACGCCCTCGCAGGGGATTTATGCAAATCTCGAAAAAGATACCGTTTGATGACCCCAACGTGCTCAACGGCGTGCGCGCACTGTACATTGTGTCGAACCTGATTATCGCGAGCATCTACTTCTACGTGCAGGCGCAGATCAACAAGAAGAATGGTTCGTTGTCGCATAGTGCATTTCTGCCCAGTCCGAGCGCGCTAACATGACCCCGCTCCAAAAAAAACAGACATGACCGTCGTCAAGTACGTCGAGCCCCCGCCCATGGGCTCTGGTGAAGAACCCAAGTTCGTCGCCACAACGGTCAAGGCGTATGACCTGGGCAAGCTGCGCGAGCTCTTCAAGGCCCAGATGATGGGCGTCGGCATGATGTGCGTTATGCACTTGTACTTCAAATACACGAACCCGCTCCTCATCCAGTCGATTATCCCGCTCAAGGGCGCCCTCGAGGGCAACCTCGTCAAGGTCCATTTGTTCGGTCAGCCCGCGACGGGTGAGCTTCAGAGGCCCTGGAAGGCTGCTGGTGGCATGATGGGTATGGGCGGTGGAGAAATCAAGACGGACAAGAAGAGCATTGAGGCTGCTGAGCGTGCCGGCCGTGGCGGTGTCAAGGACGAGTAGGACAAGTCTCGTTTGGACCTTGGCGGATACCTGGCCAGAATACGTCTTTTTTTTTCTCTTCTTATCCAGGGTGTCGTTTTCATCCTGTGCTGTTGGAGGATTATTAGGCGGACGAGGTTAATTCAGCTGGGCCATTTGTATAGCACGGATATGATTCATGGCATGAGGTCATGACCCTAATCGGATTTGTTCACTCAACTTGGGTTATCTTTTTTTTTGGAGATTCCATCTTGTGCATGTCTGTCGTCTACTGGAACTAACAGGGGCAACGTCATGTACCCATGTATGTTGACAGTATGATACGCCAGCTTAACAAGTTGAAAAAGTTATGTAGATCCCCGCCGCCTCAGATCCAAATTGAACATGATCAGAACAGCATGTTTTCCCTTACGGATAGCGATACTCTTTTTTTTTTATAAAAAAATCCTGTATTCACAAGTGTCACGTACCCGACTAATCGTAATAAATTGCATCATGATCATGACTACCGTCCCGTTACCCCTCTACTGGTTTATTTACTGGTTTATTTGTCTACTATATATAACGTGTTTCACCAGTAAGCGGGCCACCCCAGTATGTGGGCCACTTCCCTATGATATCCCACCTTTGCAACAACAACGCGTAATGTCTTAACAACGCAACGCGTTAAAAACTTATACTAAAGTAGATCTATTTCTTGCTATTACTAATCTTAATTCTAAACAAATTTAGAGTAAACAACGCGCTGCTGCCGCCTATAGCGTCCCACGAACAACAATCCAGCGTCGACGAGCTAGACAGCGCCCTCGAAGCGATTAGGAGCCACCAGCAAGGCGCCTAACAAAACTAGAAGAGGAGGCTATTACTATGCGTGTAATAGTCAAGGCTGAGCGAGGACTACCCTGTGGGAAAGACGACGTGCGAGATATAGCCAACAGACTGCTCCGAGAGCGTGGCGGGAAGGAGGTGGGCAAGAACTGGGTTGATAGGTTTGTCCAGCGCAATCCTAAGCTGCGTACGCGCCAGAGCCGTCCATACGATCACCAGCGAGCTCTCTGCGAAGACCCAGCGCTTATTAAGGGCTGGTTTAAGCTAGTTCAGAATATGAAGGCAAAGTATGGTATCGTGGACGAAGATATCTATAACTTTGATAAGACTGGCTTTATTATAGGCAAGATTTTATTATAGTTAGTTATTACAGGCTTAGACAAACTAGGGAGAACAAAGAAGATCTAGCTAGGCAATCGTGAGTAGGTTACGCTAATACAAGGCGTTAGCGCAATAGGCACGCGTATCCCAGCGTTTCTTATCTTTGTAGGTAAGGTTCTAATCTCTACCTAGTTCACAGAGGATCTGCCACGCGACTAGGTGATCCAAGTTAGTCCTACTAGCTAGACGAACAACGATCTAGCGCTTGACTGGCTTCGTTACTTTGATTCCCATGCGCGGCCTGTGGGGACGCATAGGCTGCTTATTATTAACGGCCATGAGAGCCACTGCTCGGTGGATTTCCGAGATCTCTGCGAAGAGATGAAGATAATCCTCCTCTGTATGCCTCCCCACTCGTCGCACCTCTTACAGCCTCTTGATGTGGGCTGCTTCTCGCCGTTAAAGCGCGCGTATGGTGATGCTATCTCGGTCTTAGCACGCAATCGCATCTACTATATTAGCAAAGAAACCTTCCTACTAGCATTTAAAAAGGCCTATTATAAGGCTATTACACCAGAAAATATCTGCGGAGGGTTCTAAGGTGCTAGACTTTCACCGCACGATTATAACGTTGTTTTATCACAGCTTAACGTCATGCTGCGTACGCCAACTCCACCAGCGCAAGAGACTACTGCTTAGGAGCCGAAAACGCCGCGCAACGCGCGCGAAATAGAGGCGCAGGCTACGCTTATTCGAAACTGTATGCAAATCCAGCAAGGGTCTCCTATAAGTTCTCTTAAGGAGTAGATACAGCAGTTAAGTAAGAGAGCTTAGCAGATAGCTTATAATATAGTGTTAATGCAGGAGAAACTTAATTGCCTTAAAGCTACGATTACTAAAGTAACGAAGCGAAAAACTTGTAAGAGGCGCTACGTACAGGCAGAGGGGTCCTAGACAGTTAGCTAAATAGCTAATTAGATCGCTGAGGTAGAGGGTGGTAGCTATAATAATGGTGCAACGTCTGCGAAGAGGGTGCGTAGTGAACGGCGCTGCGGGCGTTGCAGCCAAATTGGACACAACTCTCGCACTTGTTAAGTGGAATTAGAGGATATAGAGGATAGCAATGCGTCTAAAGAATAATATCTTATTCTACTTAATAAAAAATATTATAGTAGTGTTGCGCAATACTATTACAAAGATGTAATAGTTTGGGGAGGTGGCCCACATACTGGGGTGGCCCGCTTACTGGTGAAACACGTTATTGATTATGTAAATGTCCATAACACGCACACACGATGTATACATATCCTTGCTCCCTCACTTGGCACATACGCACACACAAACTCTGTAGCTGCCTCTCTCTCTCTCTCTGTCTCTTGTTGTTTCTGCGCGTCTGTCCTTGTTGATCCAAATGATATGGTAGGATATCCGTGTTTTTCACATATTCCCTCTGCCTCCTCTCTTCTTCTTTCTTTTCTTCACTCTTTATTCTCTGTTCTATTCAAAGCGGTTGCAAGATTAAAATGCACATGCACACACACAGATATTCATGTGCATGAGTTCATAGCGAGCGAGCGAGCGAGCGGGCTGTAGAATACATGTCTGTGTCGTCAAACCTGGATTTGTTTCCGAGACTAAAAAGTCCCTTCCATTTCACCCGCCTCGTCTTGTCTCGCTTTTTGTCAGTGATACTCGTAAGTTTTACAAGTGGCTTTGTGAAGAGCGGAATTGTGAGCAAAGAGGTGGGAGAATTGTAACGTCCATGGCTGTAGCGGGGAGTGTGGCGGGATTCTTATTGTCGAGTCGAGTCGGTAGAGGGAATTTCCTTCGTAGCTGTTTATGTGGAGGCGCTGGTGCTGCTTGTTTTGCTCGCATGCGTGGGCGGGCGTGTGAGGTACTTGGCGAACATTCCGCTCTTTTACCGGGTTTTGCTGTGGTGGCCTGGCCGAATGCACTCATCTACAATGCCAGCTCCTAGTTGGTGGATATTGGAACGGCGTGCCGAAGCCATAGTCACCACGCAAGACTACATAGTAAAGCATCTAGTCTAGCAAGTGCGTGAAGCCAGGCCGTGCGTAGGCTCAGAAGAGGAAGAAAGCGCCACATCGTCTTCTGGCGTATTTCATACTCCTCCTGTCCATTCGGGAAAGTAGCCATCTTGCATCGGCATGGCCACAGGCTCGTTCTCGTAGTTGAAGGGGTCGCCCCAGAAACCCTGGTCTGGTCAGGACGGAGCGTTCTTTCTGCGAATTGCATCGTGCCACTTACAAAGTCAAATTCAGGGACTGCGTCGGTGCTTGGTTGCAGGTCTCCAATAATGTTGTTAATGTTGTTCAGATTAATGTCATCCCAAATCGGCGCACGGTCTTGGAAATTCTGCATCGACCTCAGAATGTCAGGTTGAGATGGCATGGTTGTTAGCTGGGGTTGGGATGGTAGTGCTTGCTGATTGTACGGCATAGATTGGTTTGGGAAGCCGAATTTATGCATCCCCGGCATGGCTGTGAGTATATTTGTGTTGCTGGTTGGTGCAGTACCCAGTGTGAGCGTAGACGTGGCTGGTGGTTGGCTGATGTACTGGTTCAACGTCTGTGTTTGACTAATTGGGGATAGGCTGTGCTCGGATACGGCTTTATCAATCATGTTCTTAACAACTTGCCATGCTTTTGCCGTGTTGTTTTCTCGGATAATGCGTGACATCTGTAATGCTCTTAGAGCTCGCTGTCGGTCCGGTGCATTAAACAGGGGATTGCGCAGCTCGGACAATATGTGTAGGATAGCTTGGAATGAAGCAATAGCGCCAATATGCCATTGGAAACGAGCTGCTTCAACATCGGCAACCGCTCCGTTGATGGCCTCTACGCAGTTGACAGACTTTTCAAATATCCTAGACTCGTCAGTCCGAGAAGGCATTCATCGAACACGTCATTTTGAATACATACGATCTGCGAATATCCTCAGAGAAGACAAGGTCGCGGTAAGCGCGCGGCATACGGAGCCAGAAAAGCAAGTAGGCGCGCCATTCCAGCAGCGAGGCCAGCCCCAGAGTCAATCTCTCCACTGGTATATCTGGATTCAGAAACTGCAAGTACTTCCGGTGGGTCTCCTCGTGTACCTCATCAAGCATGACCTTGATCTGCTGGTAGAGGTTGCGCAGCTCTTGCGCGGGGTCTGGTCGAGAGGTTCCGTTGAGTCCAGAATCAAGCATGCGTCGTTCTAGACGATATGTGCTTTGAATGATGCGTCGTAGCGCTCGCATACCGTTAAACCGTACCAGTTGGAATGTCATGGTTGTGAATTTCTGCTCATTGTATGGGGCCTCGCCCGGGCTGGAACCCTCAACGAGGTCTTCATCGTCAATGTTCCGCGGGAAGAGCGTTGTGTAGGAATCTTCAGTTATGCTAGGTTCCTGACCCTTGCATTCAGCTGTTCGAAATTCCAAATGACCAACCTGATGCCACACGCGACGGCGCAGTTCAATGGTTAGCGCATCCATTGACCCAACGGGAAACAAGGATGGGTCTCGGTGTAGGCCTTGATTGAGGGCGATGCGGTAGGCTATACCCATCAATACCCATGCTTTACCTAGGGTCCATGTTAGCCTGGTATGCTGAGGGGGGATTCAGTAGGCTTGCCCATGTCTTCCTCTTTTGAGATGCAAGTCAGCCATAGCACGAACGCCTGGAATATGTCGATATTGGACATCGTAAGGTAATTTTCTCGAGCCAGGGAGATTTCAACGCCCAGTTGAAACCGCTCCAACAAGGCTTCTTTGGTTTCGCCAAACTTGCTCTCGACAATTCTCGGCGGTAATGAATTGATGGCAGAAAAGTAAATTGCAAAGACAATGGGATGCGCGTCATGGTTGTACGTGGTGAATTTGCGCAGTAATGTGGGTCTATGGGTGATTCTAACCATTAGATCTACGTTGGCGAAGTAGACGTCCAAAAGTGTGTCGCGATGCTCTTGTGTGCTGGGAAGTAGGTTGTCCAGGTTTGAGCCTGGCCCTGCGCGGCCTAGTGAGAGCAAGTCGACCAAGCTGTTTTGCGGCACTTCCTTTCTCTCTTCATCAGTCTTGTCGCCAAGCAAAGCCTTGATATCTTGGATCTGGACAGTGTTAGCATGTTGTCTCGCTCGAGTTGTCTCAGCGGTCTCTCTGACTCACCTCGTCGGCGAGTAATGCAAAATGCAGCGAGGAGACGAATTGCGATTGTCCACCGTTGAGCAAAAGGGTGCCGTCGCCATCGTCAGAGGCAATGCCAGCTCCGTGGGAAGTCTGGCTGTTGGAGGACGGAGTCATGACCTCGTCTCCGTCTCTTCTCTCAATTTCGGTGCTGGATCGTACAGATGATGCTGCGTTGGTCCGCTGACCTGCGACGGCCTTTTCCAGGAGATACTCGAGTCTGTCGAGACGCGCCTGGACGTCAGTGGACCTTGGTCCTTTGCCGCCGTTTGCCCCGGTGGGTTTGGCGATTCTTCCAGTGCCCGTGGGTGCCTGGACCTGGTCTGTCCAGGTGCACACATGGTTTCCTCGCGTACATGAGCCGCAGACGGGATGGACATGGTCGCATTTGACTTTCCTCCGGCGGCACGTCAGACAGGATGAAATCAGTCGTGGGCGGCCTCCGCTTGGCTTGCCAGTCGAGCCTGGCGAGTGGGACGAGGAGCCGGCTTTCGTTTCGACCATGACCGGACAAAGAGGATGGAGTCTGTACGTAATGCCCAAGGTTTTCAACGTTGAGGCGTGGATCGGGCCTCGGGGCAGAAATAGCCCCCGCTGCACCCTGAAGGGCGCCGCCCCACCCGCCGCCCCCCTCCTAGCCCAATTCGGCCTTAGCGGCGATCATGGGCTTCCCGAGCCAGCCCCGAGACGGCCTGCCATGTGAATTGCAGCGTTTATGCTCTCGACACTTTTGCCATTGACTTGGCAGCGCCATATATAGACATGCTGGAGTTGGGACCGCCCTCGAGACACGACTCGGAGCAATCAAGCCGCCCAGTTTGATTGGTGTCCTGCAGCGCGGATGCACCACTCCAACTACCTTGACCACACAGCTTGGCCGGATGGCTGTTACATTGGCGTTTGACATTGGGCACTATTGCACACTATCGCCGGGCTTGGGTTCGCAAGGAAACGATCTCGGATCACTCGGGCTCGATCCGATCGATTTTTGCGTATGCATATCACGTGGTGCTATTGTGCTAGTGCACCATGTGTACCTACTACTTCCTGCTACTATGACTCTCGTTGTCTAGAGCTTATAGCGTGAATGTACATGATACAACATAAACTATGCATTGACATCCATGTTTGCGTAGGGACAAGGTGATATATTTCAACTAGTCAGCGCTCAGAACCCTGCCTTTCAAAAAAGCCCACAGGGTTCCATGGATCAATCTGCACGAGGTCTTCATTCCTGAATGCTCAGATACTCATAATCCCTTGCTGCTGAATGCTGCTCACTCTACTCAAAGTTCATCAGCATAACAAACACATCTAGTGTCTGTATAGTATGTGCCACAGCAGGGTGTATCTGGAAGCAGCTGGTCGTAATACCAACTCGACGCATCGCTCATGAACCCCTCCAGCACCTCGACAGTTTGTAAGTATACAGTCACAGTACACAAGGCAGGGTCGGGCCGAAACGGCACGGACACGGATGCATGGTTCCCGACAACCGCGTAATCAACCCAGATTCAAGCTTTACTCATAATGATGCGAAACTCCGATCCTCCGCCGAGGACGGCGTCTACATTAGGCCTATTTCCGAGCCAAGATTTTTACAATTGGACTTGTCTATACAAGAAGAGTTTGGCAGGATACCGAAAAGGACGCACTCCAATCTCAACTGGTAGTAACCATTCACGCCAAAAAGAAAGAAAGAAAGAAAGAAAGAAAGAAAGAAAGAAAGAAAGAAGGAAAGAAAGAAAGAAAGAAAGAAGGAAAGAAAGAAAGAAAGAAAGAAAGTGACATATCGGGATAATTACATGACGTCATTTACAATGGTTCAAAGGGGACTTTTTATCAATAACGAAGTCGGTCAAACGCACAATTGCTACATGGTAGTTTCTCTGTCGTGTTGACTTGCAACTAGTATGTCGACTCTACCAGTAATGAGGTTCTGGCTATCTATTCGCCTCACGACGGTTTTCTCGTGTTGGACGGCGTTCAAGTGGCGTCTATGGCCGACGTTGACTTGGCCGTTGCCGCGGCTCGTAGTGCTTACCAGGGCGAGTGGGCTGCATGGACGGCACAGCAGCGGACCCATGCCATGATTCGGTTTGCGGAACTGGTCGACAAGCATACCCCGGAGCTGGCGGATTGGGAGTCCAAGAGTATGGGCAAGCCCATTACGGCTGCGGCGAGGAGCTTCAAACTGCTGTCGGACTACATGCGTTACGCGGCTGGCTGGACGGACAAAGTGCCTGGCGAGCAGTGGCCGGAGGAGAACGGCATATATAAAGTGCAGTTTTGCGTGTCTAATCTCCGTCACCACATGCTAATGCCGACGTAGATTGTTCAGTATGAACCGGTGGGTGTCTGCGCAGGAGTCGGAGCTTTCAATGGCCCTCCGTTGTTCTTTGCTCTCAAGGTTGCTCCAGCCATGGCCACTGGTTGCACGGTTGTATACAAGAGCTCGGAGAAGAGTCCCATTGGGCTCTTGCAATTGGGAGAGCTGATCAAGGAAGCTGGCTTCCCACCTGGTGTGGTGAACATTGTCACCGGGGATGGAACGGTTGGGGCCGCCTTGGCCAGCCACATGGACATTGACATGATTACTTTGACAGGTTCTATAGCCACAGGTAAGAAGATCCAGGAGCTTGCTGCAAAGAGGTATGTTGGCGGAGAAAAGCGCAGGTAGGAACTCAACGCTAATATTAACTTAGCAACCTCAAGCGTGTGGTGTTGGAGCTCGGTGGGAAGTCCCCATCCATAGTGCTTGCAGATGCCAACATTGAAAACGCCCTTTACCACCACAGCCAGATGTTCCTCGTAAACACTGGCCAAGTGTGCTTCGCGGCAACCCGGGCCTTTGTGCACGAAGACATTGCCGACGAGTTTGTTAGGCAGCTCAAGGAGCGGTTCGAACAGCTCAGCCATGCTATAGGCCCTCCTCACGAGCCCTCGACTGTGTACGGCCCCTTGGGCCACGAGGAACACTTCCAGCGCGTCATGGAGTACATTGAGAGTGGAAAGAAAGAGGCTACGCTGCTCACTGGCGGGGCGAGAAAGGGCACGAGTGGGTGCTATGTTGAGCCCACCATTTTCCTCCACCCTGGCGACGACGCGCGCATCTACCGAGAGGAGATTTTCGGGCCTGTCCTCGCCATCCGCACATTCAAGACGGAAGAAGAGGCAATCTGCATGGCAAATGACACCATGTATGGGTTGGGGGCGTGCATCTATACGGCGTCAGTCACGCGTGCGCTCCGGATGGCCAAGCAGATCAAGGCGGGCATGGTGAATATCAACACGTCCATGTCGTCTGGGCTGGAGGCGCCCATGGGGGGCACCAAGCAGAGTGGGCGTGGAAGGGAAGGGGGTAAGCTGGGGCTGATGAGCTATCTGGAGGCCAAGACTATTTCCATCAAGTAAGTGCGGCTAGGCTGAGTTGGGAAGGTGAGCTGATTCATGGGGATAGCATGAATGTATGAGGCACGAGCACGAGTGGCGGTTGGCGATGCATGATTCGAGCTGCGCATGGCCGATGTGGTCCTGGAGGAAGATGGCGACATTGAGCATGTCGCTCGATCCCGATCCTCTGGCCCTTGGGAGCAGAAAGCGTCGATCAGCATGGTGTAGGTGTAGGTGTAGGTGTAGGTGTAGGGCGACGGTGACGATTTGGACGTCGGCATATTGCCGTGGGCTTTCTTTTTCTGGACAGGTGTACGCATGCACGTGGGCCTTGACCGAGGCGCGACTGGTGCGGGCAGCAGAAGAAAGGGGGGCGGGGACGAGGAGCAGCCCCTGTCCATGGCGGTTGTGGTCGGGTGGTCGGGTGTATTGCTGTGGTGGTGGTGGTGGTGGAATGGGGGAGGTGGTGGCAGTGACGGAGGGCTGGGCGAGGACGCGCTAGCTAAGCGAATGACGCCCAGCCTCGCCGGCGAGCAGCCAATGACAGCGGGCGACGCGGCCGGTGCATGTTGCTGCATCTCTCCCTGCACCGTCACACGTCACTGGTGTGAATGCAGTCGAATGCAGTCGTCGTCTCATCGCCCGCCCACCTGACTGGCTGCCGGCCAACCGCCAGCCCTTCGCGCCCAAGCCCTGCGAGGCTGGCACCGACTGGCACTGACTGGGACCGACGAGCTCCAGAAGCTTGCTTGAAGCCATGGCCTCTTCTCGTCGCTGCTCCGGGCCTCCCCTCCCCCCCCTCAACAATGCCTCTCGTCGCCGGCCCCGCCATCACCTCTGCTGCTACGGCTGCTGCTGACGTCGACTGACTGCCCACTGCCGGCGACGACGACATCATCATCATCATCATCCTCATCTCGGAAACTCTCAGTGCCAGACAATTGCCATAGCACAGCTCTTGGGCCGTCCGCGGGATCGACACTGAGCACATACATCGCCTGCAGTCCGTAATACATACATACGCCGCGAGCCCACAATGCGAGCCGCCCACTGACATGGCCACTCTCTCTCCCGGTGGGTATGCGCGCATCCAAGCTGTTGGGGTATAGCGTGCTGATCGGTCCGTCGCAACAGACGTTCGCGATTCCACTCTAAAGTCGCTCAAGCTGACGTGCCCCTCCGCCGAGGTGATCCAAGACGCTTCGCCCGCCTCGTCCGCCGACATGGCTACCTCCGACAAGGCCTACCCCTTCCATGACGTAGGCGACGAGTGGTCCGACGAGGAAGTCCTGATCCCCAGGCAGCGCCGCAAGACGCAGTCCATCCCCCCATTGCAGTTCGAAAAGATCACTGCTACTTCTGCAGAGTCGTCTTCTGAGGATTCTAGTTCGCCCTCGCCTAACCCCCAGCGCTTCCTCAGCGCAAAAGCCAGCCCCAATGTGCCCCCCAAGAGCCCCTCGCGCCTGGGCACCTCGCGCGGAACCAGCCCGGATGACCTGGTCCAGCGCTTCTACCAGCTCACCAAGGAGCGCGACGCCCTCCGCAAGGAGCTGCAGCGCAAGAGCATGGGTTCGCACGTCCTGTCTGCACACAGCCCCAGGTCGCAAAAGTCGGAAGAGGACACGCTCATTGAAGAGCTGCTCGCACTGCGCTATGAAATACGCCTGTGGAGCGAGGAATACTTTACCGGCCCCATCAAGTCTTCAAACAAGCGCCCGTACATGCAAAGGGCGAAGAAGCTGTTTGGAAACCTCACAGACAACTACCACGTCTATCTGAAGGATCCCGACGATCGCCCGCTTCTCATACAAGCATACGTGTGGATGCGACTGCAACAAAAGATTTTCAACAACTGGCAAAAGGGCAGTGGCTATGTCTGGGCAGGCAAACTCGGCGACAAGAAATTGCGCGACATCAACGATACATTGCGACAGGGTATGCTCTATCCATTCCCTGCCAATTGAGCCATGCTAACAGATACAGCTGTCAAAAACGAAGCCGAAGCCCAAGAGTACCACCGATGGCGCGCCCTCACCGTAAACCTCCTTGTCCCCCAAGTAGACGGCAAATGGCGTCCTACTTTTGACGCAACACCTGTACTCAAACAAATCTCCCGCTTCTGTAGCCGTATGCGCCGCAAGCTGCGCCCATGGGCTACACAGTCACTTCGTGCTGGAAAAGAACAATTGGGCACCATTGTCTCTGCATCAGTAGCGCTAGATCTCAAGATGAAGCGCCAGCTCGCCGACTACCGCTTCGTCACCTTTACTGGCGGTAAGAAAGACCAGTATTGGGGCTACGGCTACTACGATAGCGAAATGGAAGACGTGTTTGAAGACGACGATGACGATGACGGAAACGGTGGCTATGGCAGTAGCAGCCCCCGCGGCCGAAGAGTAGAATTGGCACTTGCCCCTGCGCTGGAAAGGTGTGGAAATGCCAATGGCCATGTCTTTGACCAGAACTTCATGATGGTCAAAGCCGACGTGACGTGCAAGAGGCTGGAGAAGCAAAAGAAGCAGCAGCCCAGACCAAGAGGCGGCGGCAGTACAGTCGGTGGAAGAGGTGGGAAAAAAGGTTTCTGGGGGAAATAGAGCAGTTTTTGCTCTCCTCATTATCCCTCGTCCATCCGTCTCTGCTCACACGTCCGCAAGTCCGATCCAAGCCCAGTTTAGAATTCCCCTCAACATTTTGCATCTTTTGTTCTTGTTCATCACCATCATCCCCTCAGCATCTTGCATCCTTTCTTTCTTTCTTTCTCCCCTTGTTCATTTGCCATCACAATCCCCTACTACATCTTGTGCGTGCAAAAGCATTCTGTTCTATTGCATATGCATTATTATACCCCTCCCATGCCCATCTGCCTTATTCTGATGTTTCTACTACTTTCAGATTTCACTTGGCACTTGACTTGACTATATATTTTTTGCATACCGTGACCACTTTGTGTATTTAGTTTTCTGTAGAAGATTAGTTCAAGCCGCTGCTCAATACTAAGTGTGTTTCTTATTATAGTATGTCTGCTTAGATGTGTGTGTGAAGTGTGAATGTAGGTGAGATGGAGAGGAAGAGAGATGGCTTTATGAAGGTGGAAACTGCAAGTCCCTTGGTAGCTATGTAACGGAGCTTTTTTCTCATGGAGGCATTGGCACTGAACTTGTTCTGTTTTCATGACGGATTATCACTGCACAACCTATGTAACAGTCGATCCAAGCGCAACAATTTCGATATTACTATATTACACAGACTCAAGAGGGAAAAATTCGTATTCTACTGCGGAACAACATGAACCTCCCACTGCGCTCCATGAGGCCCACTGACCATATCTCTATTCTCGCCATTGTCCAAAAACGGGCCTTTGGCATTCGTCACGGGACTCGCCAGCACGCCCTTCTTCTCGCCGGTACGTAGGTACTCCAGAAACGCGACCGAGGCATCAATGTATTCGTGCAACGCTTGCTGGCTACTCAGCGTAGTACCGGTAACCCACTTCATGATCAGCGGCACAATGAGTGGAGCATCGGTGCACGAAGGGTGTGCCGAGCCCGCCAGCGTCATGAACCAGCCCGTGTTCACGCTCTCGATGATTTTTCGTACCACGTTGAAATGCCAGCCTTGGTCGTAAAACTGCGTTTGATCGTCTGTCCACTTGCCGCTTTGCAGCACGAGAATCGGCACGTCCATGTCCTTGTTCAGGGGCCCGGATTCTTTGCCTGGATCCAGCGCAATGCCTCCGTTGATAGGCATCGAGGCCGTGCCCGCCGACTTGAGGGCTTGCATTGCGCCCGTTGCGCCGTACGAGTGGCCGCTGACTGTGACGGCCGAGAGGTCGAGCCGGTTTTTGAAGCCGGGCAGTGCGTTGCGCGGGGAGTCGGGCTTGAGATTTACAACAGGGGCGTCGCCGGCGTTGAGGCGTGCAAAGAGCTTGATGGTCTCGCTGATTTCGGCTTCGCGGAAGTTGAGCTGGGCGGCTTTGAGGTCGAGAATCGTCATGGCCGGGCTGGCTTCCAGGTCCTCGAGCTTCAGGTGCCACACGGTTCTCTCGGTGCCGTTGGGACGGTGGATGATTGTGCCGGGGCCGCTTCCGTCGCGGTGTTCAACTGCGGCGACGACGTAGCCGTGGCTTGCAATGCTTCCGAGGTAGTGGGCATAACTCTGGCTCATGCCGGCCATGCCGTGGGTAAAGACCATACATGGCAGCGTTGCACTGTCGCCATCGCGCTTCAATTCATGATGCTCTTTCTGGGCCTCGCTTATTGCCTTGTCGAATTCATTGTCGTCGCCGAGAATATGCTCTGAACTCGAGAGAATGGGCGCGTCCACAACACCCGGGATGACAGTGCTGGAGCCAAAAGCCCACATTGCAAACTTGAAGACGGACGATAGTTTCGGGACTCCTGCAAGGCGGGCATAACCTTCGGCGATGAGCGATGCGGGTTGAGGGAGCCACGGACGTGCCCATGGTCGTCGATGCTGAGGCGCCAGAGGCAGCGAAGAAGGGTAGTATAGGGTAATGGCTAGCGTCTCCAGTTCAAAGGCCTTGTTGCCGGTATCCTTGAGGACCGCGTCATGAATCACCTTCTTCTCGACCTCAGTCTCGACATCCAGGATCCCCACCTCGTACGGCCCGGTGTATGGCGGAAGCGGCGATGTAATAGGCGTCAAGGCGAGGATGAAGGTGACGAACAATACACCTGCCGATCCCAACACCAGAAAACGCCGCGGCGTAAGGGGGCCCATCCCGAAAACCATGATGGGCAATGGTTGAGCGATTTTCTATCCAGGCAGGCCGAGTGCAAAGGGTCCTCAAAGAGTTGCAAAGTCAGCGCCTGGGGGGGAACTAATAAGGTATTCACAGAGAGGGCGTGGCGGAGGTGGCGGAAGCGGCTGATGACGTATCTCGCCCTCGGCCAAATAACTGCGACGTGCCGTGTCTCCGCCTGAAACGGCATAACGTCATCTTTCGTCCAACAACATTCACTCGTTTGTTACTGGCAATGTATTGCATCGTCCGGATGGCTTTGGGTTCCTACTTTGTCAGACACGGGTGCCTTGGAAACTATTGACTTTGTGATAGCTGCTCAACCGACATGTAAGACCGAGGGTAATGCATCCTACATCGCTTCACGCATCTACCCAAGCGACTTGGAAAAATGAATGCGGATGCCAGCACAACTCAACATACCCAAGGCCACTCGAGACTGGTATGGAGATGACATTGCCGTACGGAACCACGTCTTTGACCACATGCTCAACGTCTTTTGACTTCACGGCGGCGAACAAGTCGATACACCTGCCTTTGAGCTCAAAAGCTACTTGACGGGAATGTCTGGAGAGGATACAAAGTTGGTGTAAGACCCCAGGGTAGCAGACGCCAAAGTCTTATACATAGCGGCTGAAGTCTTCGAGGCACTCCAGCTACCCGTCGGGATTAGGATCAATCACCGCTTGATCCTGAACGGCATGTTTGCAGCAATTGGTGTCCCACAAGCCCTCTTGCGTCCCATTGGCTCAGCAGTCGACAAGCTCGACAAATTTCCGTGGAGCGAAACCAAGAAAGAAATGGAAGAAAAGGGTCTCGAGTCCAGTATCGCTACCGAACTGGGTGAGTATCTGCTGCGAGAAACAGTAGCAGATATTACCTCGAAATTGGCACTCCTTACTTCAGACACATTCCTATCGACCAACACGGACGTAAGACAAGGCGTGGAAGAGATGGAACTGCTCATGCGATATCTCAGCGCCTATGACGTCGCCAAATATGTCCAACTGCAGCTGTCGTTAGCCCGAGGACAAGACTACTACACTGGCCTGATATATGAGGTTGTCCCTCAGTACCAGGCAAGCACATCCATTGGCAGTATTCCAGCCGGAGGCCGGTACAACAATCTTGTAGGCATGTTCAGCGGTCGAGACGTTCCATGCGTAGGCATATGATTTGGCATTGACCACATATTCGCTCTACTGCAGAGTAAAGAGCAGAAGAAGCCGGTAATTTACAGGCGCAACATCGATGTTTGGATAGTGATTGCACCGAATAGTAGCACCTTGATTGAACAAGGGATGGTTCTTGCGAGAGAGCTTGGGTACTCTAGCATCAGCGCTACATTTGACGCAAAAGCCGATAAGCAACCAATGAGGCAGGTAGATGCTGCCGAGAAGACGGCGGCGATGATAGTGTTGTTGGAAGATGATGCAGTCTCTGGGATACGACTCAAGATGGCCTCATTGTCGGACAAAAACATCGACGCCGCAGCGCCTATCCCCCGCGACATGTGGTCGGCGAGGTGAAGAGGCGCCTCGCACACACATAGGCTGAGTGCTAGAAAGCCTCACTGCACACTGCAGATCCTATTCAAGTCGTCAGCCCAGTGTCTCCTTGTCCCACAACCAACCGTCCCCTTTTCCCTTTGCGAGTCCATCACACATGCGCACATACACGTACGTATATGGATACTACCCCTTGCCTATATACTCACAGCCGCCAACGCACATCGTCCAACCGCCCGTCGTTCCGCGCGGACCGAATAAAAAGCCTAATGTTCCCCTGTCCTGTCAAACGAAGCCACCTTGCCAGCCAGCCAGCCGACCCTCCCCAGCGTATATTACCCGGCTCAATATACCGTATACTCGACGCTTGGACCCTATAACCCGGCGCTCAGTTCTAGACGAACAACGGGGGCGCGTTAACGGCAATGATCAGTGACTTGCATGGTGGGTGGGTGGAACAAAGGAGACGAGGATACATGACTCTTTTTTTTTTCCTCTGATGCCCGTTCCCCAACTGCCGGTGGGTTTGTTTTTGCAACCTCCCCCGGGAGCGATCGGCCTCGCATCGACGTTTACCGGGCCTAACGGTTTTCGCGTGTTTGACGTTGATGCACCATGTTTGGTTGGTTTCGATTTTCGATGTTTGTTTCTCAGCCGCTTCTGATTTTTTTTGTTTTTGCTGGCCCGCATCTCATCTCACGGTGGAGATCGGGCAAAGGGCAACGGGTAGATACGTATTGCGGGGTCGGGGTAATCTATCTGGTTCAGATGCGGGACGTGTGATGACGATGGTGTTATGCATGGTCATGTCGAAGGATGCAGAAAAAAAAGCCCTCACCGTTGATGTGACGAGCGAAACAAAAAAAACAGTTTCCATGCTAGTTCATCACACTGCTTAAACCTTCTCACTAGAACCAAACCCCCCCCCCTCCCCCAGCCCTTCTGACACGGTGGCCAACACACCGCACATTCCACACCCAGTAATATGTAGTGACTTTTATTTGTTTATTTATTTTTTTTCTTCCCTCCTCTTCTTCGTTGATTCTCATCTCCTTGCCCTGCTCAGCCCAAGTCCCCACATGTAACTATAACGCACAGGGGGGCAGGTATATCTGATACCAACTAAGTCAGCCCTGTCTCTATCTGTGTCTCTGGCTCACGCACACGCCCGCGCGCCTCTTCATCCCCTTTAGCGGCCAGGAAACCCTCGCTTGTCGTTCCGTCGCGTGGACATACCGTGCAAGCCGGGCGATCTGCCTTAAATGCCAGCTACCCACCCATGGCGCCAGCAGCCGGCACCAGCGAGCCAGCAAGCAGGGGGGGGGTACTTTATTTCCGCATCCGCATGCTCCAGGCTCAGATACACGGTAGGTGGGCGTCCCGACGCGAAGGCAGCCGCATTAGCAAATATCTACGTACTTATGCCCGTTTTGGGCTCAAAATAGTCGTTGTGTATGGAGTTATACTTGATCCAACGCTTTGTCCATGTACGTACCTTTTAGGTTTGATATCCGGACGAATTCAACCACACCCACCAACGGCTGCGGTGATGCACTTGTGACGCCGAGAAACACACCCGTGAAGAAAGAGCGGTATAGGAAGATGGAGGGTGGGAGGGATGTGAGCACATGACCATAATCACGCGTCGCCTGCGTATCTTGGGAAGAAATTGGGTTTGTAAGCGCACAGACGGAAACAGCCATGTTTGTACATAGATAGGTACACGTAGGCTGGGCTAGAAGTCTAGAAGTAGGTAAGCAAGTAAGGAAAGGCAAGGCTGAGAACTCTTTCTCATTCGCTGCTTACTTGCTTACCACCATGCCACGCCCACGCCACGCCACGCCCCGCGGCCGTTGCGGCTGCATCGCAGTGCTTACCCGCCGATCTTGGCCATTCCACGATGCTCCGTTGATAGTACTTGTCTTGTATCCATCTACCAAGTATCCATTTGCCCCCGCGAACGTGGGGGTTACCGCAAAACACCGTTAGATTTGCGGGTCTTGGATACATAGAGTGGACGCAGGCACTGGCACTGGAGCAAGTTCCAAGGAACACGCTTGACTTGACATAGCATAGTAGTTCCAGGTTGGTTGGACCTACCTAGCCATGTTCAGACTCAAGTCTCAGCCAAGTTCAAGTTCCAAAGTCAAGTGACCTTGTTTGGCATTTTCAAAGAGACAGAACGCAAGAAAAGTGGTGGGGTAGTAGTGGAGGAAGGGGACGAAGGGGAAGGGGGGGGGTCCCTTGTCCTTTTGTCCTCGTGCACATGTATGTTTACTATCCAGGTATCCCGATCTATCCATGTACCTACCTACGCACTTACTACTTATTATCAAGTAGGTACCAATGTGAGAGTGGGGGGGTACAAACATAGACATGAATGTGGGGGTTCGTCGTCCCCTACTACCCTACTTCACCTACACACGTACCATGCAAGATGTAAGATGTAAGTGTAAGATGTAAGATGAAAAAGGGGGCTATGGCGACGCGCGGCATGCAAAAGACTTGGTTGCATGTACATGGGCGAAGCCGACCATGCACCCGACTAGCAGTAGTTTCTCGTACATCAAGGCAAACCACACCCGCTAGCCAACTAAACTAACCAAGTAGCCGCGTATATGGTGAGCGGTGCATTTTCTCATTCGTCGTCGCAACCAGCCGGAAACACCAAACGGTCGCGAATATGAGGCGAGGCGTGGCATGGCATGGCGTGGCCTAAGTAGCGTGCGTAAGTCATGTGCGCGACAAAAAAAAAAGAAAGACATGTAAAGTAGGCAAGTAAAGTAGTGTCGGTGACGCCGCTGCACATGTGCATGTAGTATGTAGATTGAGTATATACATGTACATATGACAGGGTCACGAAAAAAAGAAACAAGGACATGCAGGTTCGGGGCATGGAGGGATATGCAAGACTGGGACGGGGACGGGGACGGGGACTGGGACTGGGACTGGGACTGGGGGGGGGAAGGGGGTTCGTCGTTGACGTGGTGGGTTCTTGGGATGTTTCGGCGTGGTGGGGGTACGTATTTACTTACTTGGTGTCGAATGCAAGTGGGAGTCGAGTGTTGCTAACTTTGGCCTTTGTTTTGTGCATCCGTGCCAGACACTTGAGAGAGAGAGAGAGAGAGAGAGACACACACACACACACACACTGAGAGAGGCATTTTTTCCCTTCTTGCCGCCACCCTCAATATACCTATATCCACTCGTTTTATCGGCGTGTAGTTTATTTTTGTTTGCCCGTTGCATGACGAGCTTGGGTCACGTCTGGTGCGGTGCGGAAGCGTCGGGGGCTACAGAGGTGGCTTTCAAAAGTTCTTGCTAAGGCGCGGATCCATCGGACCGAACTCTCGTGATAACGTTTCCATTATTTACTTAGCGTGCAAGAAATAATGCCTAATATAGTTAGTGTATTACTGTAAGTGTATACTTTAGTAGCTATTATTCTCTCCAAACTCCCATTTTAAGGGCTTTTAGTTGCGAATATAGTATGATTCTTAGTCTTCGGCTATATTTTCGGTGGTAACCAAGGAACCCCTGTCAGCAAGAACTTTTGAAAGCCACCTCTGTAGTTACTACGGCTTATGCTTGGGACCAGAATACGCCACAACGCCCAACCATACAAGGCACGCGCTGGGGCTGGAGCCGTCCTATGACTCATCAGGTCCCGTCCTGGCATGCCTCGACATGGTCAATTGGGCATCACTTGGAAGCAGAACAAAGCATGCCGGTACTCGTGGTAATCAGATCAAGTAGTTGAATTTGCTTTGATGCGAATGCCATATGCTTTCCGACGCAACGTCGTCGTTGTCCTCGGACAAGATCGACGCCGCGATCCATGTCCTGAACATCCCATGGGGGGGAATTACACTCCGGTACCTCTATATCAAAATTGCTTCTTTACGCAGACAAAGGGGAGAGACAGACGTTGCCCAGAACGCTGAAAAGACACTTCTATGGGCGGGACAAAACAAGACAAGAGTGCGCCGACACAATGCACTCCAAATGGGCCGACAGAAAATGACACAATGAAATATCCAAGCTGGTTGGTGGAGATGACTGACAATGGGAAACCCTCGATCCTTTTGCTCTTCCCACATGGTGAGACCGCCAGTAGATCATGAGAGAAGGAAATAACATAAGTCGTAAAATATGCACAGAGAATATAATGGCTGGTTTTTTTTTCCCGTAGAGGGGGGCGAAACGAAGCGCAGCTGGCTCTGCGTGATGAGCCTCCTGGGCTGTGGTATAAGTAGATGATGATGATGATAAGAAATAACGTATTAGGTCCGTCGGAGTGGTTCCAAGTGTGGTGGTGGTGGTGGGATTGCAGTCGACAAAGGCTTTATATAGCTCGAGGTGTGTTTGGAAAAAGCCTGAGCACAGGTGGGCGAGACTGTGTCGTGGTGGCTGCACGGCTGCGTGGCTTTGTCGGTTTTTCTAGCACCACAGGAGACGACGCAAGCAACTTGGCCGCGCCATCAGAGAGAGCAGCCTTGTGCTGGCGCGCCGTAGCACGAGTCGAGTGCTGAGAGTCACGACCAACCATATCGAGCGATTCTTCCAGCTCGTCCTCGGCCGTCATGTGGTGCCCACGCCGTGACCCCCGCCGAGCAAGGTCAAGCGAGGCCTTGAGCTCAGTCGCAAGAGGATTCGTGGCTTGTCGCTCCTCGTCGTGGGGCGCTTCATCGTCGGAAGCGAAGAATGTCCTTCCTTCCGAGGCATGTCCTGGCGGCGTCATGTCGTCGTCCTCACGCAAGCAAGCAATCTGCTCAGCATACTGATCCGACAAGACACTGACCCCAAGCTCCTTTCGGTTACGGCGAGAAGGAATCAGCTCTGGTACACTTCCGGCCGAGCTCGCTGAACGGCGAACCGGTGAGCTCCACAGACCAGAGCCCTGGATCGAAGACATTAGGCTGCTGTCGTACGAGCTTCGCCTGCTAAGTCGGACGTGACTGCTGCGGGCAGAGCTCGTCGTACTCGGGCCCATGTCGAGCATTGGAAAGTGGCGATCAGACTCGGCGTACTCGTCCAGGAGATCTTCATAGGTAACATCCCGCGTGTCCTTGTACTCCTGAGGTACCAGTAACGAAGGACTGAGAACGAAACCCGTCTCGTTGTTGTAGTGAGTAGAGTTGTACAGATCAGACGGCGTCGTCGGTAGTCCCGTACTCAAGGTCGAGGTAGATATGGCAGAGATGGGGTCTAGGTCTGGCACGCTGTTGGAGCGGGGAACAAGCAGCGACGAGCGGAAACTGCCCGAAGGGAAGCAGTCGCGGTCGATGGGAACGATTTGAGATTCGCGATGGTTGTGCGCATACGCAATCGATGGGATTTGTGAGTGATGGGCGCCGTGGTCAGATGCACGGTCCCATTCCAGATCGCACTCAGCTTCGAGCGCATTGTCGTAAATGTAGTCGACGTCTTCCTCCCACGACTCCTCGATTGCGCGCCACGTGTTGGACTGGCGACGATGCAAAGGCTTCCGAATCGACATTCTGCGCGAAAAGCTCGTGGGGCCCAATGTGTCGGACTGCTGCGACGAGGGCCGTGAGCGCGAAGGCCCAGCCCGTGGTGAGACGTCCAACTGAGCTCGAGCCTGTGTCCTGCCACTGACTGGTGACTGTTGGTTTTGGAACGAGAAGGCTCCAAAGTACGACTCTTTCGGCGACGTAGGGCTCTTCAACGGCGGCTGCGGTGCAGGCCTTGGGCTCACGAAGTGCTCTGGCTCCTCGGCAACGTCTGCGAGACTCGGGCTAAATGGAGGCGTCGTCGCATGGATGGCCGAATCGTCTGGTGTAGTTAGAGCATGGCCAAAGTACGAAGTGTCTTCTTCAATCTCTGGCAGGGGCTCTGGGGTTGTCACAGCAGACAGTGAGAACGAGTCCCAGATACCAGACTCTCGCTTATAACGAGACAGTCTGCGCGCAGCCGACATCTTGTCTTCGTATGCAGCATCCAGAGGATTGTGGGGTGAAACCAGTGGTGCCGACGTGAGAGAGGGACCATGGCTGTGCTTGCGAGGGCTCACACCGGGCTGAGAGAAGCTCTCGATGGACCTGGCTAGACGGAGCGGTCGGCGCGAGGGTTGAAACTGCACAGCATAGTCGGGAGCAAAGTTGATTTCGGGACTGTGAGGTGGAGAGGCCACGCCCACAGACGGAGATTGTTTTTCGGCATAGGCCAAGTTTTCGGAAGAGAAGTTGCTGAAGTAGGGGTTGCTGGTGCTTGGTGCAGAGCCTGCGTGGTAAGGGTGTGCGACGTGCCCTGCGTGGGAGCCTGGGCTTGATTTATCGCTGGCAGCTTGCTCGAGCGCAGCGAATTGGTGTCGATCGGTATGAGAGAGGTGTTGAAAGTCAAATGGAGTAGAGATGCGGCTGATGAGGCTCGTGGCTGTAATAGAACAGAAGAAGAAGAAAAGAATAAGTCTTCAGAAGGCCCAAAGGGGGGGGGGATGAATGATTGGCAAAGGTACTACTTACATGCGTCTTCGGATTGATTGGTACCCCTTCTGCTCTTTCGTAGAATCGACGTGCGCCTGTCGGTGGCCTCTTCCTGTTCGTCGGCAGCGGGGGCGGCAACGACGCCCGTTTCGCTCAATCTCTTTCCTTTCTTGCCTCGAAACAAGGACCTCCTCGAGCCGGTGGATTGGTGGCCCTTTTCATGCCATGAAGACTCGTGCTCGGCCATGTCGTGCTGGCCGAGGGAAAGCAACGAGGGCGTCAAGGAAGTTGCAGTGTTACTCCGCGACCTCAGATTGAAGACGGAACTCCGCCGGGCGGGGTTGAATCTGTGGTGGTGGTGGTCGGGTGAGTGGGTGCCGCCATGAGACGTGGACATGGAACGTTGATCGGTCCAAGGATCCTGAGCAAAGGCGGGAGCCTGAATTCCCGTTGCCTGGGAGTCTACTGACGATTGTCGAGAACGCGGCACATCGTTCTTATGAAATGAAAACATGTTCTCCAATGCGCGTAAGCGGAACCGGAAAGCCGTAGTCTGGTGTACTCAATTGGGGGTTGGACTGTGCAGGTCTCCACAAATGGCGGGCAAATGGTGTCCAAAACCCACAACCATCCAGGTTGCAGGAGCTACCCTGGAGCGACAACGAGAGAGAGAGGTATGGCGCGCACAAGGGAGTGGGTGGTGTGAGTTTGGAGTGGCCAGGCCTGTACGACTACCGGACGCGTCAGTGGGTCTATGCGTAGTAGGGACCACTGGAGCATGATGCGTTAGAAGTGGACGGGGGTGTTTGCGGGTTGAAGCTAAGCGATGCGAAGTGACTACTAACCTTGGCCGAGGCTTGGAATACCAGCGGGTTAAACGAGGGCAGAGGGGACAGTCCAGAGTATGCAATAAGAGTCAAGGTAATATACGGGAAGGCCCAGCAAGGAAGCCGGCTTATTCGCAGGGCAGGAGGGGACAAGAAGGCAAGGAGCGTTGTCCACGGACCAGGCCACTGTGTGCCTCAGGCCGACGGGTGATTTGAAGGGACTCGGGCTCAGCGTCGTGGCAGACGAGGATGCGACCAGGGAGCTTGGGGTGAGGCAGAAGTGGCGGGTGGGCACAGACCGAAGTGAGACAGGAGGGGGGGTGGTGGTGGTGGTGGTTGCGAAAGCCACACCACACACACGCGCGAGCGCGAGAGAGAGAGATGGACAGCGAGGCGACTAAGGAGCGTGAGCGGTGCCGGGCAACCATGCGTGGGTGGGATTATCTGGAGTAGGAGTAGGGCATGCCGTGACACGACACGGAGGTGGAGGAGGATTTGTGGCCGGTGAGGTGTCGAGTGCGAGCACGAGTAGGGATCATGTCACTATGTACACTGGGCCATGGCGGCTTGGTGCAGCGGCGGAGGAGCATGTGGAGAAGGCCTTGGGTGCCCTGTGCGCTCCACCATGCTGGCTAGTGACATCCAAGGCGTGCAGGGACAGGGGTGGCAGCCGCTGCGAGGGCCAACGCCTGGGCGTGTGCGACTTGCTTGTAGTGGTAGTGGCTGGGGAGGGCGGCAGCAGGGGAACCGACCAGGGCCGTGGTCGTGACGGGGGAGCGCCGGCCTCGCATGCCCATAGCCTACGGCGCCTGCGAGCACACAACAGAAGGCGGCCCGACACGTCGGCCTAAGCAATATAACGTCGCAGGGGCGCGCGGCGGGCGCCCTCATTGGCCACAGGCGCCAAATAAAACGGTTAAATCTGCTGCCTGTCTGCCCTGACCACGTCTAGGCCCGGAGGCATGCAGGCCAGAGTGAGGTCCAATTTGCGTCGGAGCCGGCCACATGCTGTTGTGCAACCGAGGAGGATCCGACGACGGCTATCTCCAGAGCATGGTGAGCGCGCGGGTGTGGGTGTGTGGGTATATGTACAGATGGGGGGTGTGGGTGAGTGCGTGAGTGCGTGAGTGCGTGAGTGAGTGAGTGAGTGAGTGAGTGAGTACGTGACTAAGGTGAGTGAGCGAGTGAGAGTGTACGAAGACGAGTGGGCGCACGGGGCGAGCACATAGGGCAAGGAAGGCAGGGAGGGCAGGGAAGGCAGGATAGGGCAGGCAGGGCAGGGGAAGGGGCATGGGAGCATGGCGCTGACGTTGGCGCGGAAGCTGGAGCGTGAGCCGGTGCGGGTGCGGGCGGTGTTGATGGTGTTTTGCTGTTGGCGGCGGCGGAGGTGTTGTTGTGGTTGTGGTTGTTGTTTGTCGGGGATGGCGTTTTGAGGGGAGGGGGGGTTGTGTGTGTGTGTGTGTGTGTGTGTGTGTGTGTGTGGGCGTGGGTGTGGGAGTGAGTGAGTGGGTGTGTGGGCGTGGGCGGGCAAGCGGGATGACTAAGCGGCAACGCGCAATTTGTGCACCGCGCAAGAATACGAGGCGTGTGCCGGGCAAGCGGGCGGCGGCGGGCGACGGAGCATTTGGCATCACAGCTGTTGGTGCCGACGAGTGCCAGGTGCGCATTTCCTCTCTTTCTTTCTTTCTTTCTTTCTTTCTTTCTTTCTTGCTTGCTTGCTTGCTTGCTTTCCTTCTCTCTCTCTCTCTCTCTCTCTCTCCCGGTCTGGCCTTGGGCGCGCATCGTCTGCACCTGCATCTGCTATACATAGGGCGGCATGGACGGCGTTGACGGCAGCCATGGACCATTACATGTACATGTACATTACATGTACCACTGCGGACGGCATGTAGACATGTATGCATGTCGTTGGTGTTGGTGTCGTGTCCATGCAGGCGGTCGCATGTGGTCGCATGCTGCCGCGGATCCATACTATGGCTGTGGCAAAAGGGGATCGCGACAAGCATCAGATCAGCCCGACATGTCAGTGTGCGCGCTTATGTATGCAGATCTTCGCGCTCCTGAGACATGGGCAGCCACTGAAACAGCCGAAAAGAGGCCTACTTGCTGCTCGACACTTGCCGATGACATGTCGCGCTCGACATACCCCGCCCTCCCGCCTCACTTGGCACGTCTCAACCACGGCCATGATACTGCCTGCGCCTTCCACTGCGCCTGCCACTGCCACTGCCAAATCTCGCGCCCCGTTTCGGCACGCACCTGTGCCGACGTCTGCGTCGAGGGCCAAGCAAGCCTGCACCCCCGATCCATGCCATGCAGCACAGCCAGCTACCTTTTGCTGCTGCTGCTGCTGCTGCTGCTGCTGCTGCTCGTGTCGTGGCCGAAACCACGGCAGCAGCATAACAGAGAGCACTAGAGGCTAGCTGGCACGGCACGGCACCCGAGGCCATGCTGCGCTGCGCTGCGCTGGCCGTGCAACCGTGCCGTGTTCATCGTCGCTGTCTGTGTGTGTATGACGAGCGTCCCTGGTGCTCTGTGCCGTGTTTCTTTTTTGTACCTAGAGCCGCATGCACTGGACGCACAAAGAGCACACCGACAAATTCTCCATAGCGCGCCGTGCCCGTGTGCGCTCCAAGTGCCGTGCGAGCACATGGCCACCACCACGATTCTCGCTCGACGGCCATATGTCGTATCATTGGTGCCGGCCTCGCCATGCTTGCATCTTGTGTGCCTGTACGACGTCGTGTCGTGGTGGTGTTGAGGGGCAGTGTGCCGAGCAAGCGTCCCTCGTTCGCCCGCAGCCCCCCCTCTCCCCCTCCTCTGGCCCCTCGCGCCCCTCGCGCCCCTCTCGCCGATGCGGCCGAAGCAAGAGTGCAGGTGAAAGTGCCGTCACGTGCCAAGCATCGCTGCCTGCCGCCCACGGCCTGTTCTTGCCTAGCCGGGGAAAGAGCGACGACATGCGACGACATACCCACGGTGCAATTCCTTGCAACCGCCCCGACCAGTCTGCTCTCCTCTTCTCCCCAACCATCGCCCAACGCACAACACGACCAAGAGAGAGAAAAAAACCCCCCCCCTCACACCCGCCATGCACGACGCGTGCGACACATGGGCCCGCCAACACAGCCTTTGTTGCGCCTTGCCCACTGCACTGCGCACTGCTCACATTTCCCCTGGTTCCTGCAGTGGTTCCGGACCGCACATCGCCGACGACTACGCCATGCCTCCACCTTTTTTTTTCCTGCCGTTCCAGCCAAAGCGGATGCACGTCTTACGCATCCCCCCTTTGCTCTGCGAATACTGTATACTACGGATATTGCCCTGTCCACGGTGACGTCGCTGCCTCGCTGCGCCATGGCCCAAAATAGACGCGAGAAGAAAAGGTCGCCAGCCGGCCTGTCGAGGCTGCATGCACCGTGCTGCCATCTCGCTGGATGCCACCTTGACCCGAGTATCCACCACGCCATGCAGGCGCGTGCGTGCGTTGCGGTCCCGCTGGTAGTGGACGTCTAGTACCAAGTACTACCTACTTATCTTCCTCCACCACCAAGGCCGAGCCATTGCGAGTCGCCAGGGTCGTGGTGGGTGCACCGCCAACCCCAACACGTGCTTCTCCGCTCCTGTTTCCCACCCTGCCTCGTCGTGTACCTGCAGGCCCGCCGCCGTGTCGGCGCTAGGCCCTTTTGGGCACCCGCCTAGGCGTGGGCTGGAACCTCCCACCCTCACTGTTCTGCCCATCTCACCACGACCCCATCCCAAGACCACCCCCTGCCCCATCCCATCACCACGATAGTGCACGCGTCGCACAGCCGGGAACCCATCCCACGCACTCATGATTCGCACTGAACCCAATGCCGCACTAACAAGTGAGACAGATGATGAGTATTCAGTCCAGACTTACCCCGCTTACACACGCCACGCCCGTGCGAGGCAAACCCAGAGCGTGTGTGCCTGGCGACAGTGACGGCAATACATTGATGATCGATTCAATAAAGTACATCCCAAGTACCGACGTGGCTGCTGCTGGCTGCCTCTTTCCCTCTTCCCGCCCGCCCGCCACGTCCGACGTCTAACCAGCCATGCATACTATCCACACACGCCGCCTTTGCTCAACCAACAAAAAAAACAAAGCATAGCGTATGTGGCGCCTCAAGCGTGCCCACCCACCCAAGCTTGGCAACTGGCGGGCGTCGCGTCTGTCCGTCCCATATGCGGGTTATCGCAGCCACATTCATGCTCTCTGCACATCGTTGCGACTCGTCGGCTCGCGCCCACTCGGTCCCATTGCCATTGTCTTGATGCAGCACACGTGCTTCCAGCCAAAGTTTGCCTCGAGCCTGATGGCTGACCAGCTACATGTACACCATGGAAGGCGTTGGAATCAGGTGAAAAATGCCCATCCCTGGACGCTTGGCAACCCAACGACTACGCAATCATGCTACCTAAACATTAAACACATGTATGCTAGCGCCTCTGAAACACGGGTAGCAGATAGTTTTGCAGCTCCTCTAGTATAGTTCCCAGCTGTACGGCCTTGGGACCACCAGTCTCGCTTCACCATGCGCCAATGACCTCAACATGTCATTCAAAGTTTCGGCCCGCACTTTGGCCCTCGGTGCGACGTGGAAACCATTTACACTAGACTACATGGATAACGCTGCAGTAATACGCGGCGGCAGATGCCAGGCCTGCATTTGCCGTCGACCTGTCACAAGCGACCCCATCTGCAACCGCTTGACGACTCTGGGCCCGCCTTGGTGTAGCACCATGTACCTACCAGACGATGCCATGCAAAAGCCCAACATGCAGACGGCCTGCAGCCAGCTAAGCAGAGGCGTAATAGCGCAAGCGACAAAGCATTGCGCCGTCAATGCGCCCCCACAAAACCACCGCTGCCGTCTTGCCAGAGGAGAAGAAGACGTGTTAATATGTCCCGTCTGCCGTGCCGCAGCACCAGCCTCGCCAATCACAATCCATGCCATGCCAACGCAAACATTCCCTCCTGCTGATGCTATCCTTAACCACGGCTCACAGTCTTCTTCTCTTTTGCTTCGCCTCGCTTCTCCTCCCGCCTCCTCGCCTCCTCGCCCGCCAACCTACGCATGTACATGTGTAGCAAGCTTTCGTCTACTAGACGTCAAGCTGCACTGGCCTGCCACACGGCCCGTCACTACGGCAAGGGTTGCGCTCCTTACACTGACGATCCAGAGCCACCAACCGTTCTGAGCCGTGCCGCCCCAGCCAAAGAACTGCAGGCCTGACGATTGGTTAGCCCACCATCCTTCTCGGCTGCTCTCTAACGGGCAGGTGACCGGGCCCTTTACTTTGGTGGCGCACAAAGGGTGCTTACATATTTCTCCTTGCTTTTTTTCTTCTTCTTCTTCTTCTTCTTCTCTTTCTTCGACGACGAGCCATCTCGCAACACGACAGCATCAGAGAAGAGACATTGTACAAGCCTTCAATAGTCCCCTTGACATGGAATATACATGATGCATGCCATACTCCACAGTACAACATCTGTAACAAGACGACCCTCCCGCAGCAACCACCCTCGTCCATCGCAAGGACGCAGCCGTCAAGTCCATGCAACTAACTCGATCCTTTTACGCCGACCCGCATACATGGGCTCCCGAGATCTCAGCATCCCTCCAACATACCAATCAGCTTGCGTCTCTCGTGCCCAGATGCCGGGGCAAGTCGCCCAAAAAAATTGCGCGTGGTTGGGCGCCTATGCCTATCCAGCGAATTAATTACGTACGTACCACGTACAAAGGGAGTGGCCCAGGTGCCCGGATGATACACCCAGGAAAATCCCGATGAGAGAGACAGGAAAAAAACGGGTCTTACTCCCTTCTCTTTCGCCGGCTCTTTCTCGCTCCCTCGCCCGCTTTCTCACGCGACATGGACCCGTGACCAAGGTAGTGGGACAGCACAAAGTATATGGGGGTTTTTTTATTAACGTCAAAGTATAGCGAGTGGCCGAGAATAGCGAGTGACCGAAAATGCCAAGCCCCCATCAACCTCACCACCGTTGCGCAACCATTACAGCGCAACAACAACAGTAAATTGAAATTAGAAAAGGCTAATCTATTTAGAATCAACCTCTTTATCTTGCTTGCAGGTGCGCGAGTTGTGTCCAGTCTCACCGCAGCGTCTACAGCGCCTTTGCGACGGTTCGCCTACTTCAGCGCTCTCTCCCTTCTTTGCCTTCTTCCCACTACCACGCGCCCTAGACTCCTTTAGAGTTGCCAGTTTCTCTCCTTCTTTAATCGTTAGGGTCTCTCCTTTCTGTAGCCGCTTTCTTTTGTGTGATCTCCTTCGCGTGGCGGCTTCATTCGCTGCTTCAAGCTTAGAGACCCGTTTCTTGACTAACACCAACTCATGCGCAATAGTAGTCGCACCTTTAACTAGGTTTTCAACAGCACCTAGCATACTTGTTGGTGAACTATCTAGGTG